TTGGGACGTACGACTGTTTTGAACGGGACGACGGATCGGGGCAGGATGTGGGGGGATTTAGCGGCTTTGGGGGCTGTGGAGAGGGTTGCTGGGGAGAAGCCGGGATTGTGGGAGGAGGTGTTGGAGGAATTTAGGGGGTTGGTTGGGGATAGTGTTGCTTTGTAGGTCTGTAGTATTCTTGGTCTGTCGAACTGGCTGTAATTGAGGGAAGTCAGTCACTATGTTGGCATACATATGACATGGTAAAGTCTTGATAGTTCTGACCGTTATTTATATGCTCCTATGAAGAACCAATGCATGAGACTCTTATTTGCTAGAATAAAACATGTACCTCCCACGCTTTCGTTAAATACTTTACTTGAGTATCAGAGGCAACTCAGACTCGCCTGCTCTACCATAAGCTATCCCGCGAATCCCGCAAATCCCGCAATGCATGCAATCCACCCCCAGCTACGAACCATCTACACAGCCCCCGTTCTCTCCTTCAAATAAACCATCAACTCCTTCTTCTCCCACAGTAAAAACGTCTTTTGCTTGTCCCAACCCACAGATTCAGGAGCAAGGCTAAGATCAAAGTGGTACAAGATTTTGGCAAGGATAACACGCAATTCACTGTATGCCAAACTATACAAACATCAGTTATACTTGGAGCCATAACAACAGCCTTCAGGCCGCGGGGACAGATGGGCTTACTTCTTCCCTAGGCAATTTCTTGGTCCAAACGAGAATGGTTGAAGAGCTGCCTTGTTATCGCTGGCGTATTCGTCGCTGATCCATCGCTCGGGGATGAATTCGTTTGGTTGTTTGAAATTGTTGGGGTCGTGGTAGGTTGCCCAGTGGTTGACGGAAAGTGCAGTCTGTACGTTGCTTGTTAGAACAAGATAAAGAACAGAGGATGGAAAAAAGAACAAGACGTACCCCAGCCGGAATATGCTCCCCACAAACTAAGAGTCCCTCAGGGGCAATTCTCGGTATCCCATTGGGAACAGGAGGATACATGCGCAGACCCTCCTCAATGCACGCATTCAGATACTCCAACCTCGCGAGCGCCCCAAGCTCAATGTCAGAATCCCTCTGAAAAGCACCTCGAACCTCCCTCATGATCTTATCCATTTTCTCCGGATTCCTCAGCAAATGATACGTCAACCCACTCAACGCCGTAGCCGTCGTCTCCGTCCCCGCAACCATAAAGATCTGCGAATTGGCGTACATCTCCGGACGACTCAAACGGAGAGTCTCCTTCTGGCCCATCACAATACCCCATATATCCGGTTTGTGGACTTTGCACGCGGGGTCAATGCGGGTGTCCACGCGCTGCATACACGCCTTGAAATGCGCGGCGGCTTTCGCTTTCAGAGCTTGTGGGATGAGCATCTGCGTGATACGCGTAGACCACGGGTAGTAGCGGCCCAGTCTGCGCAGCGCGTTGGTTTTCATGCTGAGGTATATGGCGGTAACCCAGTTGTGGTCGCCGGTGCCGGCGAGGAGGTCCAGCGAGGCTCCGAAGGTGAGGTCGCCCATGATGTCGAAGGTGGTGAGATTGTACTGGTAGACTATTTCAATCGGGGTTTGCGGACTTTCTCGTGTGAAGGTGCGTAGCTTGCTGATCAGCATATCCGTGTAGTGGGTGATGAGGGGCTGCTGTTCACGGAGCGCCTTCTCGGAAAAGGCGTGGGAGAAGTTGCGGCGGAAGCGGGTGTGGTCTGGCCCTTTGGCACGAATGATATCTGAGGCGCCGTTGAAGGAGGGCCCGATGAATCGGGGGTCCTTTTCTGTTGACTTTGTGCCCGCGCCTGCGTGGCCGTAGATGCCTTTCCATGCTTCTGGGGCTGTGTAGCTCAGTTCATTTGGGGCTACACGGACGACGCTGCCGTAGACTGTGTGCAGCTCTGTGATCCAGTCAACTAGGTCGCCTTTGGTGCTGTGGTATAAATTTGGGATCCGGGATATGGCTGCGTGTTTTGGGCCCGGGAATCGGGAGAGGGGGTTGGTGCATAGTTCGTAGAAACATTTTGCTGCGATGGTGAGTAGAATCTGTATTGAAATAGCTTAGTATCAGATGTTTCTTGAAGGGGGGGATCTCAGTAGGACATACTGAGGTAGCTATCACAGCAACATAGTGCTGGGAAGTATAATCCGCAATGGTCTGGAGCAGCATATCGATATTTACCAGATCAATAACCACAGACAGAATCTGAAAGACAGTAGGTAGTAATTGAGAAACGAACGCGCCTTTATATACCACTCTCGATGAGTTTCATATTTCAGTATGATAATAGCCTTGCAGGAATGAGGGATTTACTATAACTAATATGAACCGGTTATGAAGACTGTCTGCAGTATAAACCCACTGATGCTGGCATATCCGGCAACCCCACTTGGAAACCACAACGCTTATCCACTTTGTGCATATGATCTGCTATGGCCTGTGAATAGCTTCCCTGTGTTTATGCTGGGCAAATTGGGCATAGGAGATTAGTGCACTACTGTTCTTTCTTTACCATTTTCTATGTATGTCCCCTTCGACCCTTCGAACATGCGTGCATGAGCAAAATGCAGGACTGCACTAGCTGATTCAGCCAGTGGAATGCGAGATTGCATATCTTATATTGAAGCAAGACATCTTCAAGTGACAAGAGCTGTGTTTCTCTGGGGACTATGTACTATTGGATCTTTGTAAGTAGCTAATGAGAATATCCAAGAACGTAGATCTTGAAACCCATTGAGCAAGAGAGTGTGGATCCCTTTGAGCAACAACCAGTTTCAATATATATGCGGTTGTAAATCGACTGCTGCTAATATCTATCTATATCAACAACGTCTTCGTCATCAATGCCAGGGGTTCAATGTCGCCCCTTCTCCCACTCCAAAGTCCCAGCTCGCTCCATCTTCCGCTCTCGCTCCCGATCCCGCGCAAGCCCTCGTTTTCGCCCGCCGACAATCTCCTTCTCCTTCTCCCGCGGGTCAATCACCATCAAGGAATCCGCGTCTCCGGGATGCTCCTTCTTCCACTTGAGGTCTTTGCCCTTCGTGTCCTTGCCGAACTGCAGCTGGTGGGTCAGCCAGCCCCGGTCGTCGTCATCCCCGGCGGCGGTTTCGTGGTCCTCATCCTTCCATGATTTGCAGGACTGGCAGTTGGCGATGAAATGTAAATCGCAGAGCTGGGCTTCCGGGTCTTCGGACTCTTCGTTCTCGGTATGTGTGCCCTTCTTGATTTTGGATGGCGGGGGGGAGGTGTCGCGGGCCGGCTGACTCGTATCTGCGGTCTCGAGCTTGGACTTGAACGCATTGAATAACTTTAGGGTGTCCTTGTCAGATGAGCCGCTGAGTCCATTCGCGCCGCTGCGGCCGCCACCGTTTGTGCTCCCTGGTGGTGGGCGTCTGCGTCCGCGGATCGCTGTGTCCGGGATCATGGCTTCCAAGGCGGATTTCTTGCGACCGGAGTCTGCGGGCCCTGCGTGCACGTCCCGACGCATGGAGGCCATAACATTCTCGATTTCGGCGTTGGTGCGAGACAGGAAGGACTTCTTTGCGGGGGGTGATCGCGATTGAGAGGGCGAGCGTTCTGGCGACTCCGGGTCAGGCAGGGGGAGTTGTTTCTCTGGCTCGGGCGTCTTAGGACGGGGCCGACGCTCAGGGGACGGAGAGTGCGGCCGTTTGCGCGGTTTTGTCGGGGCCTGTGTTTGGTTCTCGACTCGAATCTTGCTAGGAGCGTCGTTGAACGTGCCTTGCGTGTCGGTAACGAGGCTGGCGTTGAATTTGGGCTTCGCCGGTCGCACGGGAATGTCTGCGGCCACGTCGCCATCATCTCCAAAACTCAACAGCGTCTTCCCGCCTTTAGCCGTCTTCTTCTTCTTTTTAGGCGGTGCAGCTTTCTCCGTCTTGTGCGCGGTCGCCGTGATTTGCCTCTCTTTGATCTTGCCGGCCAGCGGTCCCAACTCCCCGACCTCGCAGCCAGTCACCTTGACCGGGTAAACCGGTGTCTCCGTGCCTTCTATGCGTTCCGCTTCCGCGATCTTCAGCAAGTTGTAGATGGAGTCGCCTTCGATGCGCCCGAAGAGCGTACACTGCCCATTCAGCTCGCGCTCCGTGTTCCCCAGAGTAATGAAAAATTGACTTCCGTATGTGCCGTCCTCGCTCTTCGCCATTCCCACCAGCCCTCGCCGGTTGAACCGTAGCCGGCTGTGTAGCTCATCGCGTAGCACGACCTTCTCGTCCGGATCGCGCGCGTCCGGATCGTATTCGAACTCTGGATCTTCGTAGATGGACGTCCCGCCCGACCCGGTACCTGTCGGATCGCCGCCCTGGACGATGAAGTCGGGGACGATGCGATGGAAGATGGTGCCCACGTAGTAGTTGTCCTGGCAGTGTTGGAGGAAATTTCGACAGGTGAGGGGTGTCTGGTTGGCGAAAAGGGCGATTTGCAGAGGTCCGAAGGTGGTTGACAACGTGGCGGATGCGGTGGCCGCCGGCTCGGTGGAATAATGGGCGGACATTGCGAAGCGGAAGGCAGGCTTATTTAGGGGGTCGTTGGAGTGAACGCGTTTGAGGCCTGCGCGGGTGCAGGTCCTGCAATCGCCGGTCGGGAGAGGCTCAATCGGGTGATAGGCGGTGATAGTGCGGGGAGAATGAAGTTGAGTTGCTTTCGAAGTACTGTTGAGACAACTCTTGTCGCTGAAAAGGGTAATAGGAGGGCAAACGGCCCGCGAGGTGGATGCGAAGGATCGGGGGAGGAAAGTTGACCGGAGCTGAAGCTTTTCGGGGAAACTTTCAGCGCGAAGTCAACGTCATGTCACGCTCGCTTTCTCCCTTTATTTGGCCTAACCCCGTTCAACCACCCACAAGAAAGGTGCATTGAGTATTCAACAGGCATTTATCGAGACTAATATTGATGTACATATATAATGGTCTCTATTATTATATTATAATATTACTGATAATTTTTACTGTTATTGTATCTTTGAAGAAAGAACAGATACCGCTGATATGACTATCTCCTTCGAGTCGGTTGATTAATTATATATGGAGCGCGACGGCTCATGACTCTCCCAGATTGGGATTCCTTCCCCTACGTATAGCTTAAAACAGTCATGGTCGCTCAAAACCAAATCACTGCATAGGACATGGATCGTCATCCGTGTCCTGAGCCCTTGTTGTCTCCGTCTCATCTCCGGCCTCAAGCGCATCAATCCGTTGTCGAACACGCGCAACATCAGGGGCTGAATTCGGGCCCGATAGCATAGTCTCCTCAGCTAGGATTGCCTCCTGTGGCCGATTTCTTTGCCGCAGCCAAGCCGTGAAGCTCTGCATCATCACCGTCCTCATGAAATCCGCCTCTGGGCCTCGTATACCCTCTGGTGGGGATGGGATCTCGTCGTCATCTGCTCCGTGAGTATTATTCTGCGGTACTGAGCCGGAGACAGTCGGCCTTTCATCCTCCCCTGCTACTCTGCTGGTATCAGGCTGCGATGCCGAAGGTATCGGCAAGGGAGGAGCTGTGCCATTCATCTTCGCCAGCACGTATTCGACCGTCTGTCGAAGAAGGAGATTGCGCACACCGTTATGCGCTCTCCAATCATGGATTTGCCTTGGAACAGTAGGACCGACATAGACCTGGTTGGGGTGGTCAAGAACAAGCGGCCACAGGTCCTCGAGTAATGCGCTCTGAGATGAAAGCATTCCATAGAGATCGCCCCAGACGAGACTGCCTAGAATGCGCATCTGTCCGTGATATCCGGGGGATTCGTTGGGTCGCCCGCATCCTTCTTCGGGATCATAATCTGCATCGACGGCAAGGACGAAGCCGGTGAAATCGCCAGCTAGCAAGAGATCAGTTGCGGCGGAGTAGGTATCTCCCATGTATGAGGCGAAACTGGCGTGGTCGGCGACGAGGAATACCCGGTCGTTCACGTGGTCATTCGGGTCGAATGATGCTAAAGCATCGCTCGTGAATTGCCTACAGAAATGGCCAGTTAGTTAAAGACCGTGGTCCTTCTTTGATCAGACGATGACATACTGCTTCGCCGCTTCTACATCTCCCTCGGGGACGTTCAAGGCCTGTCCATCCAACCAGTGCAGTTTCAGATGCCCTTTGAGTTGGCCACTTCCTGTCTGGCCTCTTCCCCAATTCGACACATGAGCCTCCACTTTCTTCACAAAAGCCGCCCATTCGGCCTCGGACTGCTGGTACGTGAGCTTATAAATGGCGAGACCCCGAGATGAATGACTAGGGGAGTTCTCAGTCATATACAGCTCTTGCATGATCCATGGTTCTTTGGGCATCGTCGACAACGGCTCGCCTCGGGTTTCTAACCGCACCAGCCACTGGGCCTCAGTTTGGTCAGAGCCCGTCTGACAGAGCGATTCTGGCGATGCGACACCACTTCCCGTACTTCTTCCTTCTGCGACTCGTCGGTATATGATTTGTCGACTGACTTGTTTCAACCGCGTGGTGTAGGCCTTTTGGCGGTCGGTCAATACAGGCGACTGCAGCTCTGGTGGGATATTGGGTCTCAGTGGAGGTGCAGTGTACCCCTTGTAGCCATGCATCGGCAGCATGATCCCATAGTCCGCGACCGCTGCAATCTCCGCCAGGATTTGCAGATTGTCTGTGATATTCCATTGGATATGATCGACGACATCTTCTCTCGTCGGACGATGCGACGCCAACGATTGCAGTAGCGGAGCCTGCAGCGCATTAACTTGAAGTATCACCCAGCGGTGTGCGCGCTCCGTGACAGTCTCATAGTGCGCGGCGATGAACTCTGTCCAGAGGGTAGCGACGCTGACGCGCTCCTCACCCCGCGAAGCGCGCCCCTCATTGAGCACAGTATCTAGCTCCGCCCAATGGTCCCAGATCAAGTTGAACGTGTCTCGCAGATTGCGTATGACCCGCGGTTGGTTCAGGTAGTGGAATACAGCCAGCACTGCGGACAAATGCTGAGAGGCGATTTCGAAGTTCTCGGGACGATCGAGGCCCTTTTCCTGCCATCGCTCTTCACAGAGTGGGACCATCCCTTCCCACAGACGAGATTTGATGGATTGGATGTTCTTTCCCACGAGGCACAGCCGATCGCCGTCTTCCATGGAGCCTACCCGCTCCATGACACGCTCGATTATCGGTTGACCATCATCGCGGGGGACTACTGCGACCTGGACTTCTTCGCCGGCGAGTCGGGCGAGTTGCGTTTCTTTTCCGTTGGGAAGCGGTCCTTCGACGCAAAACTGGAGGAAGTGCGCGATCGTTTGGGGTTCGATCAGACGGTCAACTGCAGTTGTTAGTAGGCTCAGTGCGTATCCCGCGAAAGACGTCATTTACCGATCTCCAGGTCCTGGTCCTTTAGATGGGGCTGGAGGATGATGCTACTTCTCTGGACGAGGGAAGGGTTCAGGTGATCGTATCTGGTACTCATTGCTGCTAGAAATAATGATAGGAGCACCACAGTCTGGTATTGTCCATTGGAGAGGGAAATTGGCGTTGGCGAGTTTGAAAATTATCAATCGTGCCATATTAGGCACCCGAGTGGCAGAGACGCCATGCTTGCCTAGCGTGTCTAAAACCTGGTGATGTCCGAGACACATCGCTCTGGTTCTTTCGGACTCTGTCTTGAGCCTCAGTGTGAGCCGGATTGGCCTAGACCATGTGGTTATTCCCAATTAGGGATTTCTAGGCAAAAGTAAGCAGTAGTACCGGAAACCACTAGCTGCATTTTACCACAATTCCTTGAAAATTCGAGTCTGACTGGGGGCAGGATTCATATGGCTGAACCGCAATCTTGTTGTCTGAGATTTGTCTTAGAACTATCTTCAAGTTACCAAAGCGTGCGATTGGTATCTGGCACAATTTGGCCGAGAATATCGCATGCCTCGTAAAGGTAACGCTCATTCATCTAATAAATAATTAAGACTTATCATATTCAAGATAAAGGTATAAAATATCCATTTAAATACCAGAACACGTGCAGTGCATCCAGAAACATTCGATCGGCCATTCTTCCGATCCCCACAATTCCGGCAGCCCCGCATTTAAGTTTTGCGCGCATGAGGGGTGAGAACCATGCATTATCGTCCCTACTACCAACATGTCGGATCGCATTGACGTGCTGCTTTATGGGCTCGGGGCGTAAGTTTTTACGTACTATTCCAATAGGCGCGAGACCATCTAACAGCATCTAGAATCGGCTCCTTTTACGCCTTCATCTTGCAACGTTGCGAGCGGGTGCGCCTGACCGTCGTCGCGCGCTCCAACTACGAAGCCGTCAAGAGCAATGTATGTTCGTCGTTTCGCGGATTCTGTAGCTATAATAACAGAAAAATTCCAGGGAGTCTTCGTGAACAGTGCCAATCACGGCCAACACCACTTCCATCCATACAAAGGCGACTAGCCCATCGCCCCCTTTTCATGATTGCCTAGAACAGCTTAATAACAATTACCATCAGTGGTCAAATCCCCCGCCGAGCTGACTGGGAAATCTGACTTCGTCGTATGCGCCCATAAAGCCATTAACCCCGAGGCCACGCCGGCGGCCCTTGCGCCCGTCGTGGGCGACAACACGACTATCGTGATCATCCAGAACGGAGTCGGCAACGAAGAGCCCTTTCGGCGCGCGTTTCCCACAAACTCGATCCTAACCTGCGTGGTATGTTCCTTCCCCCACACTTTCGACTGTCTCCTCGATGCCAACTGCCGTAAAATCAACAGGCCTGGGTAGGAGCCAGTCAACCCACCCCGGGCACAGTCCACCACACGGTAGCGGAAAACACCCAAATCGGGCTCTTCACCGATGCATCGTCTCCTCCATCACCAGAGGGAAAAACGCGCCTCGCGACCTTCGCCGCTCTCCTCCAAGAAGGCGGCACAAACGTCGACGTCGTAGACGACATCCAGCGGCGCCGATGGGAGAAGGTTTCCTGGAACGCCGCGTGGAACGCCATCACCTCTTTGACGAGGATGGACACGCAGGATTGGTTGGCCTCGTCGCCCGACGCGGTATCACTGTCTCAACGGCTGATACTGGAGGTGGTATCTGTTGGGAGAGCGTGCGGCGTGTCGTTGCCGGATGGGCTGGAGGAGGAGTTTATTACGCGGGCTCGGGGGCTGGGGAGGATGCGGACTAGTATGCAGTATGATTGTGAGCATGAGAGGCCGATGGAGATTGAGGTTATTTTGGGGTATCCGGCTAGGAAGGCGAGGGAGTTAGGCGTTGATGCGCCGGTCTTGCAGACGCTGTATGCGTTGTTGCGGGCTGTTGATGGGCGGTTTGCTGCTGGGGTGGTGGGTTCTGTATAGGTTTGTTGTACTGGTTTGGGATAACTAGAGTTTAGATTGAAGATAGTAATATCTCCTACGTGGGATTTTATATTAAAGATATTAGTACTAGTCAATAGCCAAAGCAAGCAGATGCCAACACATTACGCCCAAAACCTAGTTCTCTCAAATGCCGTACACATCAAAATAGCAATCGCTTATATCGGGACAACTGCAGTTCACGTTAGGGACATGCAAGGATTCATACGGATTTCTGAAGAAGCAAAGACAAACTTACTAAACCGGGTCCTGCCCGAATATAATATGCCACATGTACTCCATCACCCTCCCACTAACATCATCCTCCAGCTCCGTCTGCATCAACCAGCGATGATACTGTGTGTAGGCGCTGAGCGGCCTCTTCAGCACCTGCTTCCGCGACACCGCAAACTGCGCACAGCACGGCGTGGCCACGACATCCGGAACATCCGTACTATTGAAAAAGCTCACCCAGGCTCGTGCGAACGATATGTCAGTGTCCTTGATCTCTCTATATCGCGAAGCGGAAGAAGAGGAAGACGGCAGGAACGGCCGGATCTCGTCGGGACAGCCCGGGTTCGGATTACAGCGCAGATTGGCGTAGCCGTTGCGCTGGATGTGGTCTGTTTGCAGCATCTGGACGGTCTCGACGTTGCTGTGCTGGCTGAACTCGGTGTGCCATGCTTGCGGGTAGCCGTCGCGGTGGCTGTGGAGGAAGATGATTGTTTCTGGGAGGTTGTGGTAGTTGTCGATTATGTATTGAAGGTAGGCGTTGGCTTCTTTGCCCTTATTTTTGGAGAGCGAAAGAGGTGCGCTGGGGTCGTCGACTGTGTAAATTGCGTTTTGCCATCTGATCTACATTAGTATTTTCCTCCCGTCCCTATCTGGGTACCTCTATTTGTGAGGTGGGGTGGTGCATACTCGGGTAGATCGCGCAAGATCCAGCTTGTGTCTTCGTCGGACAATCTCCCCACGACGATGATACCGTCTTTCATCTGAAGTCCAGACGCCTCGTCCATGACGATCTGGTCCCCTTTGCCCATCTGGTCTCCTCGCGACGGCGCAAGGCGCTGCGCATTGAGCCGTTTACGCGACGAAGCCGGCGTTGGGTCCGGATACGAGACTTGTGCCCGAGTCTTTGGCGAACGAATGACTGGTCGAGCGGTCAAATTGACTCCCTGCTTGTCTGTATCACTTTGCGCGACGCCGTTGCGCTTCCCAGCCTGCAATGGGAAAGAAAAACTGCGGATATCGTCCCATTTCGACTGAATCACAGACGAGTGTCGCTCGACTATCAGCATGCAAAGAATTAGCAGCACGGCTACCGTGCAGATGCGTTCGAAGGCTCTCATGGTTGACTTCGGGCCTTCCCATCACTCGGTTAGGAGGCTTAGGACTGCAAAAGTCTGCGGAGAAGCAGTGGAGAAAAGCGGTTCTTTAAGAGTGTTAAGAGTGCGCCAGGGCAGAGACCCCCTGTGGGGCAAGACAGTTATAGTAGGTACTAGGTGACGGCAAGCGACGATCCCAACACAGCAGCTAGAAGTGTTCTCTATTGAAGTCAGTAGAGTTATCATTCCTGGATATTTGAGAACCCCAGAGTATGGGCGAGTATTGATGTCATTGCGAGCTGTGATCCGAATGACCGTTTCTGCAGTTGTCTGCTTTTACGTGCGGGCCGCTGTGGATCCGGCCAGCACCTTTTCCGTGGTTCGGGGTGAGTATGCGCCTCGATGTCATCATCGACCTGCCAGGAACGATTCCGATCGCTGGTGTCGTGCCTTGATTCCGGACCTGAGTATAGTGATCTATGGCGTTGTTGGGCGGCATTTGAATTATGGCTAGGTGGTGGTAGGTGACAATAGATGTCCCGATATCGGTCAAAAGAACACCGCTGTTATCACTTAGCTATAAAGGCATCATGGCCTTTTGCTCCTTATTTCTTTCGTCGCCTAGGAAACTACCCTGCGTAAATCCCGACCACACCTCATGTATAACGGAGAGTGCTTGCTTAAGCAGTTGCGATATCCAATTCCTCTTGGTTTTCAAGTTGTGGACTCATCATTTGAGGAAATGGGATTGATTACCATCACTGAAAGAAGTGCTGGCAAGAGGTAAATCCCAATATCTCGCTGGAGTACCTTGCAGGTATCTGAGACTCATCAGATTTTAAGCTGTCAAATATCCTTGATCGAACATTCCTTGCGATATAACATTGCTGGATGGCTGATCATCAGAAGCGGTACGCTGGCAGCGTTACTCCAGGATGCGGAGAGAAACTGGTATATCCTCGATACGTGAGGTTTTTTTTTTGTCATTGAGATAAAATTAACTATTAGCTACTGTATAGTATAGTAGTATAAACAATCAGCGAGTCATCAAGCGTATAATGCTTGAAAAAGACCTGCGAGAAGACCTGCGTATCCACGCAGCACAAATTAGTTGGCAATAAATCCAGCCTGATAAGGCCTGCCAAAGGTTCGTAAACAGTCAATCAACCCTGTACATCATTCCCTCATTTCCCTCGTTGTCATTGCCATTTAGGCACGAGAATCATTACTCTCCTTTCTAGAAAGCCTCGCCTCCTTCCGCAGCTTGTGAGTAGAAATGCATGACCGAACAAAGAGCCAAAAATACAAAATCCTGTCGCAGTCAGTAACGCGCCCCATACCAATCCAGACAGGTAAACATCACTTACATGGTAACCAAAGCCACCGCCGTCCCAAAGTACTCAATATCTGCCAAGGTCTTTCCACTGCAATCTCTATATCCTGCCTTGCAGTCATACGCAACACCTCTGAGATATGGCATCATCCACAGCAGGTACATAACTATAGTCGCAACCAGTCCGGTCCATGCGAATAGATCGAAGGTAACATATACGCCATGATGGATTGGTTTATGGGATAGCAACTCGACGCATACCGCTATAATTGACCACGCAAGGGTGTATCCGGTCTGGATTATGGAGAAGTCGTCCGTCAGATCTGAACTCTCTTGTATAGTGTATAATCGAAGGCCGGTGTACTTACGCCTGCTATAACTGGACTGAGCATGGGCCCGCCCAAGTCATAGTAGCCCAAGTCGGTTATGTCGTGACTGCTGTTTGCCCATCCGAAGACGCAGAGCGCAATGAGTGAAGTGATTCCTGTGAGGATGCGCAGAGACAGATTAGTGCTCTGAGCGTACCATTTTGCTCGTGCAGGAAAGCCCATGTTTGATTATTTGTTGGGTGGAAGGGGTGTAAATTGTGCAAATAGATGGTAAAAACACGAGAGCTTGGATGAAGATTGATGTTTGTGACAGTTCATCCATCTTATTTATCTTTCATAATGCAGCCTCATGGTCACAATGGGCTTAAAATAGCATAGACCAATGCCTTGACGACATGCCAGGCAGGTGGCAATCACCGAGTCAGTTGAAACGCGAGCAGCGGATCTAGCGTCCGCGCAGACCACCACATGCTACCTATTATCGGAAAGTGGCTTAGAACAGAAGTCAGGGTATCGGATCTAAAAATGATCTTTGATTAGTGGGGATAGCATGGCGGTGACTCGAAGGATTTGTGTGTTGGTTGGAAAAAAAGAGCCTTGGCCAGCTCATTTAACCCATTAGGTATCGAGATCTACGCTCCGCCGTGCACTGCCCAGGACGATCTATACAACTTAACCCTAAACTGATAATGAGCAACGGGAAGTCTAACGTACACAGGCGGTGCTGAAGATTATACCCCACTTAAGGCAGAATAATAATATGTAACGTTCTTCCCATTGTGTTCACAATGATATCACAGGATTGTTTATTCTAGGGCACAGATTCGGGGAAATCAAACTTTCCTGGCTGCGCATCGTGGCTGGGCCTTTCACGCTTATACGCATTAAGCTACAGGATTTAGCAGAAACAATTGACTCGGAAAATATATAGTATAATAGATTAGGAGCCGAGTCATTCGAAACGAGAGGTTTGGGTTCCATACTATTGGTGGACAAGCACCAATAGTATTCAAACTTTTTGCACTCCTTCTAGTAGGAGGGCATTTATTAGGTACAGTAACATTTGGTAGCATACTAACCATGCGATAAATTAGGTCCCAGAACATCCATCCACGTCAAAAGCGCTCGCTGATTATTGGCTCGCTCATTGTCGGATACAAAAGCCACGAGCGCTCTTCCACCTTGATCCGGTTATCGACAGGGGATCATGCTGAGGTGGGCAAAATTAGAATAGAGTCGAATTAAGCACTCTCTTCGGGGTAATGATCGTAGTTCTGGTAGGGCTCGTAAGAGGAGTAAGGCTCGTACGAGGCAGCTTCGGCTTCGACATTCTCCTTATTGGCGTCGCGCTTGTAGGAGCCGTAGCCCTTGTAGGGGGCGTAGTGTCCGTAAGGGTTGGCTTCTCCCTCCTCCGAGTCTGCGTCGCGCTTGTAGGAGCCGTAGCCCTTGTAGGGGGCGTAGTGTCCGTAGGGATTCGCTTCTCCCTCCTCCGACTCTGTGTCCCTTTTGTAGGGGTTGTAGGTTTCGTAAGGGTTGTAGCGTCCCTCGTCCCGGTCTCTGGCCTGGTGGTTCACGTCCCGCTTGTAGGGGTTGTAGGTCTTATATTTGCCATAGGGGTTTGCTTCTCCCTCCTGGTGCTCCACATCCCGCTTGTAGGGGTTGTAGGTTTCATAGGGAGTATAGCCATAGTCCTTGTAGTCGGCGTACTCTCCATAGGGGTTCTCTTCACCATCCTCTGGCTTCGCGTCCCGCTTGTAAGGGTTGTAGGTCTTGTATGGAGAATAGCCATAGTCCTTGTAGTCGGCGTACTCTCCATAGGGGCTCTCTTCTCCATCCTCTGGCTTCGCGTCCCGCTTGTAAGGGTTATAGGTCTTGTAGGGGGAGTAGCCATAATCCTTGTAGTCGGTGTACTTGTCATACGGCTCGTAGCTGGGGTAGCTGGCGACGCCCGAGTCTCCGTCGGCCTGCTTCTTCTCGTCGGCTTCGACGGGACGAGCGCTCACAGAGAGGAGCAAGGTAGCTAAAGTGAAGCTGGTGGCGACGAAACGCATGGTGGATGGAGAGTCTTTGTTAGACTGGAGAACAATGTATTGTGTTTGGGTGGGGATGGAGGAGCTGCCATTGTGTCAAAGTCAGTGGGTAGACAGGATTATATAGGTTATTGATAGAGGTCTGCGCGTCATCATGAGCCGTTGTAATAGTTTTCACTGCTTTAGACAATTGCATCAGAATCGTAGTTTGTATACAATTGGCATGTGGCAAAGGCGAGTGAGTAGCCATGGGAAAATTAGACAGGTAATAATGGATATTACAGCTGTACTTGGCTGTCAATTGTATTCAGCCTCACAAAAGCACAATGTAATACTAAAATTAAACATTGAATTCCGATCCATAACGGCGAACACTGTTGGGTCCATGCTGTCACCTACCTATTCCGGCGATATAAGATAGAAGCTGACCCACTATGTCGGGGTCGCGCGGAAACCATACCCACAAAAACAGACCAAACAGCCTTAGACGGATACCTTTCCCCAGGGTTCTAGACAGTACAATCAAACTCAATGCCGGCAGTGGTGACGGATCCCAAACTTAACCAATCTTCCATGAAGTGCATCGCCGGAGATGGAAATGGAACGCGAATTTTTGACTCGTGACGTAGGTTCTTCTCAGAACACCCTCGGGGTCTCTATGTCGAGAAGACACCTAGTTCTTCTGATAAACTCATTGTACATTCAAAGATACAGGTCTAGTTCTTGACACTTGAGGCTTCTCCTGCAATTTGGATCACTCGATCTCAATGGATCCAGACACAATGGCCGCTACACCACCAGATGAGGAGCAGCAGAAGAGCCTCCTTTCTGAAGAAGAGGGCGTCTGGGTGGACACAGAAAGGAAGGCGAAGAAAAGCTTTCCCCAAATCTGGCAGATTTTCGTGTACCCTATAGCCGTGGCTGCGATCTTCGCTATGGGGGCTGTATCTGGCTACTATTGGGACGATATGGATAAGCATTGCAGTACATACGTCTCGCAGCCCTGTATGACTCGGACTCACAACTCCTTATTGGCTCGTAAGGAGCAATTGCTAATTATTTGCAGCACCATTGTTGAGGGACATGGGGGTCAAGTACCATGTTCAGCAGTACAACGGGTCCTTTCTCCACGAGAACATCTATCGACAAGACGCGGGTCCCGAAGTTGACGAGGCTTGGGAGGCCTTGGGAACAGATTGTGAGCACTCTGATCAGTTTTCTGAGAGACTATGGTTGTTAACGAAAACAAGACCGACCACTTAGGGTTCCCCCCGAGGCGGCAGAAGAGGCAGGTATTGCCCATGATCAAGTCAAGATCAACGATAAATACGGCGGCGGATATCCCGCCAATCTGGAGGGGTTGCACCATTTGCACTGCCTGGTAGGGAATTCCACAGCCCATACTGCCTCTATTTGACTAACAAGACATGGTAGAATCTCCTCCGGAAATCGCTATATTACAACTACGACTACTACCATGACCTAGGCCAAGGTGCGTTCGTGAACGATGACTATATCGTCAAGCGCCACGTCTGTAAGTATCTTTTCTAGTAGACAAACCATAGCGAATATCATACTCACTCATTACCAGCCCACTGCATGGACATTATTCGTCAACAACTCATGTGCACAGCCGACACTGGCGTGCTAGGGCAGATCTGGGTCTGGCCCGACGGCCCCAAGCCGTTTGTCGACTTCAATACTAAACACAAGTGCAAGAACTATGACGGGATTCGGCAGTGGGCTCAAGATAATCAGTTGCCTGAGCATCCTCCCCAGGACTACATCCAAAAGGAGCCGGAAGAAGGAGATAGGATCTATCCTGAGATTCCTTAGGCTGGGGATAGCCATGCAATGATGAAGGTGCTTGGTCCTTTTGTCAGAATGGGATCTTGAACAAGAGGTCTTTGGTTACTTGTTGTATTAAGTAATGAGTAATATATAATGGAGCATAATTACACCCAGTAGGTGCAGCATCAACAGAATGTTGACAGGTATAGAACTTGCTTATCCATTGCACTGTGGTGGATGTAGTGTTTCATAGCATTCTATCTAATATAGACTGTATACACACTGTGCTCTGCACTTAGAAAATCATGTGTCATTAGCAGTACCTTCCACAGACATCTCGGTGATCACTCAATTTGGTAACTCAATAGTCATTGTCTAGTATGTCTGTGACTGAACCTCGGGAGTGAGGCATTCCCCTTCGAAGAAAATGACAGCATTGGACCCTACCCAACTAGATAGTCACTAGCAAGATATTAATTAGTGAATATACAAATTTCTTGGAGTATAAGTACCATCAATTTTCCGTTGTTCCTCCATCTCTCTACCAACTCCTTCCCCCACGAACAAGTCATCCTATCAACACCAAGCCCACCACAACCATGTCCAAGTCTAGCTTCGCGGTCGAAGAGTACATCCTCGATGGACAGCACATCCGCCAATACTCTGGTGCCACCATAACCCCCGACGCGCCTATCAAGCTCGCCGTGAAGAAGTACATTCCTCTCAACAACCCCAATCCCCAGCCCGGCGACGTGACTATCATCGGGTCTCACGGAGCTGGTTTCCCCAAGGTGCGTTGACTCGACACTATTCTTACGTAGACACCCTCATAAACTCACCATTGCTACTTTTTAGGAACTTTACGAGCCCCTGTGGGAAGCTATGCTAGCCAGAAGCGAAAAGGATGGTTACCGCATCCGAGCTATCTGGATTGCTGACAGCGCCCACCAGGGAGCAAGCGGAGTGTTGAATGAGAGAGTCGTTGGGAATGACCGTAAGTACCACTCACCCTGCTTATTATAAGTTCACATCATAACTGGTTGGAAGCGTCTTGGTTCGATCACTCGCGCGACCTCCTGCACATGGTCAACCACTTCCGCGATGACATGCCCCGTCCTATGATCGGCGTAGGACATAGCACTGGCGCCACGCAGCTGTAAGCACAATCTTCTTCGTCTATACAATACAAACGAACCAAGGCAAATCACTGACAGATAACTAGTATCTTTCTCTCCTTGATCCATGCTCGCCTGTTTACCTCCCTCGTCATGATCGAGCCCTACTTGATCGGCAAAGAGAGACACACCCAAGGTCTGGGAACCCTCGCATCAGCCATCCAGCGCAAAGATACCTGGCCCTCGCGTTCCGTCGCAGACAAACACTTCCGCAAGGCATTCCGCGTCTGGAACCCCGCCGTCCTCGACCGCTGGACTCAATATGGTCTGCGCGATCTGCCAACCGCCCTCCACCCCGAGATCAAAGTCGTCGACTCAGAAAGGCACAACCCACCCGTGACTCTCACCACAACCAAGCACCAAGAAGCCTTCTTCTACACACGTAGCAACTTCAGCCAGCACAGGGAGCTAGGCGCAGTCTACGCAGACGAAGCCAGCAACGATCCGCGCCCACCGCACGATCCGCTCTTCGTCCCCGACATGGTGGGCCCCTTGCACCCGGGTCAGAAATTCTACCGCCCGGAGCCTGTGCTGGCGTTTGCGCTGCTGCCTCATCTCAGACCTGACGTGTTGGTGTTGAGTGCTGCGAAAAGCGCACTGTTCCTGTCTGGGATCCACGACGCGGCGGTGAAGATCATCGGCACGCGCTTTTCTGGAAGTGGGGGGTTGGAGTATGGTCATGTTCGACATGATGTTGTGCAGAAGGCGGGACATACTTTGCCGATGGAGAAGATTACGGAGACTGCCGCTTTGGTTGGTTCGTGGGTTAGTGAGAAACTGAGGAAGTGGAGTGGGGACGAGAAGTGGATGGCGGCTATTGAGGTTAAGCCGGTCATTTCTGAGGAGTGGGTTGCTGAGTTGAAGGCGAGGGCTTCGTCTGACAATTCGCTGGAGAGAAAGAAACTGTCTAAACTGTAGGTTGGTATGTCTGGGTTTGAATTGGGTTGGTTTAGGGTTTGGTAGTTTGGTTTGACAGGACGGGATCTTGATTAAAATGTTAAGGAGGTCTACAGAAACTAATACTGAAATTGGAAATTGTTTCTAGAGTTGAAGGTCAAAATAACGTTATTATCATTGTTGGTCTACGGCTGGTGCCATCCACAAAGTACTTAGTAGTGGTGACACTCTACTTTTACATAGTATACTTGAATGGGACGACAACAATACACCTCACAATGGATATCGCACGGACCAAATCCTCATCAGAGACATATGCCATAGTTAATCGTCATGTCTGCAACCGGACCCACCATTAACCTATATACTACATGGGCCCATTAATGGTTAACAAACGCCGGCAAACTCAACCTACAGAACGGCCGACCCGAGTGGGTCTATCTCGGCCACCATGCAATTATGCAGTCGGAATTGCCACAAGCTCGGCTTCAGGGGCCAGAATAGACCCAAGCAGAAGTCCAATCGGAAAACTCTACCACTTACCAGTACAAAAGAGGTATAGATCAGGGTGCGGGTATGCAGATCGCTGGCGTCGGCCAAAGTTGTTAGGGTCTGCCGATGATTCATCGCCCGTCGGCCAACTTGAGATGGCCGAAGTATACCATCGGTGATGCAACAGTGGGCCGTATACGTGAAAATGGCTACATGACAGCCCAATTCGGGTATACATCGATGGCCGATGTTGATTGAGGGTATCCACTTGCTATCAGAGATTTCGCCATGCTTGAGTTGAATCTATCGATGTTTGTCTATATAATGAAGACCATTTCCGATGTATGGTTGTTATCAGCAGACCAACAACTGAAGAAGTTTTCATTTATACAATCTACAACAGATTCGACAAACAAATGGATAAGGAACAACAGAACGACTCGCCCGGCCTCTACCCCGAAGGCGGCTGGAAAGCCAACTCGGTCGTCATCGGCAGTTTCTGCTCGATCATGGGCGGGCTCGGGCTCATGAACAGCATCGGCATCTACCAGGCCTGGATATCAACCCACCAGCTGGAATCCATGAGTGCCGGCCAAATTGGTTGGATCTTCGGGATATACAACTTCTTGATCTTCTTCTGCGGCATCCAGATCGGCCCGATCTTCGATGCCAAGGGACCGCGGGCGCTCATGCTCGTGGGTTCCATCCTTATCATCCTCACCCTCATCCTCGTGGGCTTCTGTCGCGTGTACTGGCACTTCCTCGTCGTCATCGGCATTCTCGGCGGAATGGGGACCTCATTCATCTTCATCGTTCCCGTCGCCAGCATCGGACATTTCTTCTACCGTCGGCGAGGCGCCGCCACAGGGCTGGCCCTGTCCGGCGGCAGCATCGGGGGCGTCATCTTCCCTCTGGTCCTGGAATACCTAGCTCCCAAGATCGGATTCGCGTGGGCTACTCGCGTCATCGCGCTCATCACCCTCATCCTCCTCATCCCCGGCTGCATCCTCGTGCAATCCAACTTCCCACCAAAGCCATCGCTCTCCTCCAAGCGAGAAATCCTCCCCGACCTCACCATCCTCAAAGACCCATTACTCGCGCTGACAACCCTAGGCGTGTTCTTCATCGAATGGGGCTTCTTCATCCCGCTCGAGTACGTGGTCTCGTACTCGCTCGCCCACGGTATGTCTCGCCGTCTTGCCTACCTGACCATTGTGTTTTTCAACGCGGGCTCCTTCCCCGGCCGCTGGCTCCCGGGCATCATGGCCGATAAGATCGGCCGCTTCAACACGTTGATCCTCACTAACGTCTTATGTCTGATTGCGGTCCTGGCGGTCTGGATGCCTGCGAGTGGGAACGTCGCTGCTACCGTTATCTTTGCCGTCGTGTTTGGCTTCGCGAGTGGGAGTAATATTAGTTTGGTGCCCGTTTGTGTGGGAGAGCTTTGCTCTACTGAGTCTTACGGGAGGTTTTATACGACTGTGTATACGATTGTCAGTTTAGGGTATGTTTCTCTTTCTTCTTCTTTACCTTGGATACAATGCTAATGTGGTGTAGGGCCTTGACTGGGGTTCCGATCGCTGGTGAGATCATCCATCGGTGTCAGGGGGCGTATTGGGGATTGATCGCATTTGCGGGCTGCTCGTATGCTGCGGGACTGGTGTGTTTTATAGTTGTGAGGTTTATGCAGGAACGTAAGGGGAAGAAGGGTGGTGGGACGGAAGTAAATGCTTAATGTAGAAAGCTTAATGTGTGAAGACAATTAGATTTAACGAATATATATATATTATAGATAGAACGATTCCACTAGCAGATACTGAGTAGACCGGGCAGTTGTCTCCTGATAAGAATTCACTTAAATACCGATTTGGAGTTCAAAGCGCATCGAAGAACAATGAACCAATTCTTTGATATCATGCTTTTTTCGAGTATTGATATTTGGTCTTTGGCCTAGGGAATGATGCTCAAGTTGGTTATCCGTACTCTCACACCAATGAAGCCTTTCCTGGAAACCCTATTTGTCTTGTCATGAGTGCCGAGGTAGCCCAGAGCACTAGCCTACTCACCTTTTCTTGGCGAATATTATGTCCTATAACAATCCATCCCGAGTGGTCAGGGATCTTGGAAAAGGGGCATGTAACGTTGGATAGGTTGTTCAGAGAAGTATAGAATAAATTTTGAATCATAGGGCTCTAGGAATTGCAGACAGATATACCAAAGGTCCTGTGGTCTAGTGGTCATGACGTCGGATTCTGATTCCGTAAGCCCCGGTTCAATTCCGGGCAGGACCTCTTCTTTCTTTTTTGCTTTTTTCCTTTTCTTTTTTCTTTACCCTGCATGCAATATGCATCCTTTATTTCTTGCTTTCTTTTTAGACAAGATGTTCACGTGGAACTGGTTATAATGTTATGTTCCCCCATAGTAATGCCACAGTCATGCTGTCTGCTACTTTGGTATTGTCGCATTTCTTGGTAACGCTAGTAGTATAGTTTGGCGTCTTGGACGCTTTCCGGGCGTTTATCAGCCAATCGGTCAGTCCGTGTCGCCCATAAGCAATCATTCTTTCAGGTACTTAGTAGTCTCTGCCACAGGATTTTTTGTACGATATGCTTGAGAAACACACCGTTTCATGCTGCGAGATCTATTACGTGCGATCACCGCCTATGGCTGCTTACACTTCAGATTGTTTGATCAAGCCGATTTGATCTGATTTGGTTCTCTTTGCACTATATGGTGGATGAGAGTAAGTTATCCTTTTCTAGAAAAAGTCCATTTATGAGCTATATTGTTAATGTGTCAGCGCCCCAGTATATAAACGATCTGCCGAATTATGTGGGCACTACTAATCATCAAGCTTTATATTAGCTTAATCAACAGGCCGCGGGTACTTGCATTTATATAAGATTTCGACAAGGCCAAGGCCAAAAGTGTGTTTCAGATCAGCCCAGATCTCATTTATCTGGTTCTGGGAAATTTGGCCGGCCCAGTGACAGGCTTCAACAAGTAGAAATCTACCGGGGCGTTTCTCGTGTCAGGCCCTGTTAATTTCCATCGCCAAATGGCGTCCCGAGGGCTAGAACAAACGCCTCATACGACGCGGAGAGATCGTTTCGTCTATAGTGACACGGCCACTTTGGCATCAAACCCGTATTCTGGCTACTTGGTAGTGTGGCGTCCGATGTACTCCTGACATCGGTTCAGATCTATATGAGGGACGGCTGGACCGCCACCCCCGGAGTTGGAAAACAGTTGTCGGTCCATCAGCTTCTGGAAAGCTTCACTTTCGTTTCATTTGATTTACTGCGTTCTTTTTCAAGTCACTCTTTTGGTCTATCCTGTTTCACTCTTTTTGTTCTTACAATGTTTCTGGGAAACACTTCTCATGCCCTGTTGGGTCTTCTAGGTTGTCTGGCACTTCTCCCCCAACAGACCTATACTGCAAGTATTCCGTCAGAAGGTCATCTGTACCGCTTTGGACGCGTCTATCAAGGCCTTCATCACATTTCTGATTCGACTTCCGACTCGAGCTCTCATGGGGACACGCTCGCCCCCACCAAGCGCGACATCTCGTCAGAAGATCGTCTGTTCCGCTTTGGGCGTGTCTATCAAGGCCTCCATCACATTTCTCATTCGCATTCCGACTCGGGGGACGCGCTCACCCCCTCCAAGCGCACCGCGGAGTCTAGCTCCGTAGATGTCGCGACGAACACAGCCCCAGAAACAGCAAACGTTATCATCCCTGCATATGCATATCCGTCGGGCGGAGCTTGGACGCCTCTCGAGAGCCTGTGTGTAAACCCTCATTGACCTGTAGAGTAACAAGCTATTGACATTTCAGCGCAGGATAACCGCCCACCCCGACGTCCACTTCACTGTCATCATCAACCCCGATAGCGGTCCCGGTGCCAACTCCCTGCCTGATGAGAACTTCCGCGCCGCCGTTCCCAAGCTGGCTGCTCACGACAACGCGCGCGTTATCGGCTACGTCAGCACTGTGCGAGGCAACCGGGCGACCTCTGATGTGGAAGAGGAGATCAAAAGATATGCTGGGTGGCCGTCTGCTAGCGGGGATAAGGCCTTCGCTGTGAACGGGATCTTCCTTGACGAAGCGCCGACTGGAGACGGTGGTGCTGCGGTGTCGTATTTTCAGCAACTTGCTTCTTTGATTAAGCAGTCTGAGGGTCTTGGGCCGGACAACTACGTACGTTATCTTCTCTTCCCCTTCCCTCGCGGAATAAAGGATTGTCTATACAATAATCTACAAACCACACAAACTAACCCTAAACCACAGGTCGTCACGAACCCCGGAGCCGTCCCAGACGCAGCTTACTTCGGGCTTGCCGACTCGACAGTCATTTTTGAGAGCCCGTACAGCGAGTTTCAGAATATTCTGTCGTCAGACATGTTCAATACAATCAAGGGAACGGACCTCTCGAAATTCTCCTCCATCGTCTACTCCATTCCCGAGGGCACTGACCTCCAGGGGTTGGTTTCGCAGGTCAAGAGTATATCTAGCCAGCATTACCTCGGAGGCCTCGACACCTATATGTCGTATGATCCTCTGTTGACTCGCGTTGTGCCTTTGCTGGGGTAGTGTGGCTAGAGGTATACTGCTTCATACTGTCTGGAGGGTAGATGTTGAGATATAATAATTTTATTGAATCTGAGGTTCACGTGGACTCTATACACTTATATTAGTCTGAATATGATATCACCTACCATGCACGATATAATAACTGCGAATACAAGTGAGCAGTACTATGTACCAGGACAAAAGTTGAGATGCGGTAGAACGTGTTGGATGGCCGATTTGGTGAGGTCGCCGGCTCAATGGTGGATTATGTCAATAATGATATCATTATCCCGCATCAACCAGGGAAACCTCGAGGTCGTCATAAATATTAGCATATTCTATAACCACTTTTCAAATCCCAACAGTCGCTGACCAGAGATTATTAACTCGGTGACTGGAACCAGAAGCTTGAACCACCACCCTCGTAACCTGTGTAACAAATGTCTCTGTTATAGGCGGGAGACCTCAAAGATTCCACCTAAAACCAACGGGAATCATATATATCCTTTGAAATGGATCCCTCTGCTAGCTGTGTGGCCTGCCAGCCTAAAAGTCGAGTTTGCCCTGAACATGGTGGTGTAGAACAGACCAACCATGATTTTGAAGCTAAACTCCATGCCAAAAACCAGAAAGGTTTAAGACAGGTTATAGTCAACTTCACTCCATCGTTCGTTTAGTTCTATTTCCCATTTGTATATAGTATACTAATCATGCTTAAACAGATGGGTATGAATCAGCTCTATCATTATCCTAAGCTTATTTTCTCACCCTTTTCAAGTTCAGTGCTACCATGGGGACGGGGATTGTTTCGATTCTTCTTTTCAACCTTCCCTATAACGGCGATTGGCTATATTGGCTATCCGTGATTGTTTTCGCCTTTAATGTATTCCTCTTTTCTCTGTTCAGTATTATCTCTTTCATTCGATACACTTTTTTTCGAGGTATTTGGACAGCGATGTTGAACCATCCGACGCAGTCGTTGTTTCTCGGTATGTTTTCCGTTCAATCAGCAAAATCCATCGCGTTCCTGATACAAGGCCAACAGGCACATTTCCAATGGGACTTGCAACCATCATCAACATGATCTGCTTCGTATGTGTCCCGGCGTGGGGACAATGGGCTGCCAAATTGGCATGGGCCCTCTGGTGGTTTGATACCGTTATTTCACTTGCAAATAATATGTATCTGCCATTTGTTATGTATACAATATCGGTCTCTCCTCCCTAACAATCACTAACACCGAATCGCAGAATGTCTCGGCATAGCAATGAACTTTCGGGGATGACCGCAGCCTGGTTGCTGCCTGTCGTCTCCACCATTGTCGCTTCTGCGTCTGGTGGGATCGTGGCTTCGGTATTAGAAAACGATCAGCACGCTCTGTGGACCATCATTATCAGCTATATCCTCTGGGGGACGGGAGTCCCTTTAGCAATGACGGTACTCGCGATGTACTTCCATCGCCTAACGATCCATAAACTACCGCTCAGAGAAGTCATCGTGTCGGTTTTCCTTCCACTGGGACCATTAGGCCAGGGTGCTTTCAGTATCATGCAACTCGGGAAGCAGGCTATGAGGCTCTTCCCCGTAACAAACAGCGTTCCTGCGCAAGTCCCAGCGGGCCCTATACTCTATGTTCTCGGCTTTGTGCTCGGACTCATCATGTGGGGGTTCGCGCTTGTGTGGCTTTTCTTTGCGCTCGCCTCGATCACTCGGTCGAAATTCCCTTTTAACATGGGTTGGTGGGGATTTACCTTCCCGCTTGGGGTATTCACAACCGCGACGACTACCATTGCAAAGGAGCTTCCTTCGTTGTTCTTCAAGGTGTTAGGCACAGTGAGTTCTTAGATCGAATTCGAGATGTATATGTTTACTGACACAAGGAAGATATTCTCGGTTATTGTCATCTTACTTTGGATCGTTGTTACCATCGGCACACTTGTTAAATCCTGGCAAAGGAAGATATTTGTTGCACCATGTCTTAAAGAATGGGAGAAGTTGGAGGCTGAACGTCATGCGAAGGAATGTCGAGGTTTGCGAGATGCCTAGTCAGCTTTTTTAAATGTCATTCACATAGCGCCATTGATATCAATTTGAATTCGGACACAAGATGTTGAAAATATCAGTCAGGTCAAGCCCTATCAGAGAAACGTCACCAACGAGGCGAGGGTGATTGTCCATGATGTTTTTCGTTCAGAGAAAGTGGAATATGGCTCTGAAGAGCTGGTGGCTGCGGATTATGGATCCATCCTACAACACGTAGGAAGGATGGTGTTGTTCAGTGACAGAACTCTCTGGCAGCCCAGGATCTTGAAGCTTTACCTGAGTTCTATCTCCTGGCCACGACATTCTAAACGTCCGATAAAGTGCAATAAGTGCTATTGAAACTGACTGATCTTCCGCCCTGTCTCCTACGTATAATTTGCGGCAGGATCCTCAGCCCATAGACATGGTAAGCTACTTTCGATTATACCCAAACGTGTACGGAGTGATTGTCGGTCAATTAAAATTCCGTACGCAGCGGGTGAGTACCCTAGAACGCCAGTACCTAGAACTGGTTATATGTTGTCAGGGATATCAGTCAGGTCAAGCGCCCCCGAACTGCCATTCGGCTTTTTGGTGCAGTGGCTAAGATATATCATATAGATATATTGTCCCTGGATGGAATCCCTCCCAGACGTCGGAATATACCCCTTGCATGGACTGTCCCTGCATCACTTTGATCTTTCATTGCCTTGCAGTGGAGACGTATCATGAAAGTCCCGAATCTAGGGCTTCCAATGCACTTCCCACAAATTGCAAGCTTTCTGAGACGAAGACTACTCGTCTTAAGTCGTCATGATTCACCTTTATGACACAGACTTGGACGACGGGATACGTGCCTCATTGCCTCTTCAACTGTTTTGAGAGCGTAGCTAGCTGATTCTTTAGAGGAATCTCCACCCTTGGCCTCGGAGTAGGTCATCGAGACTCGCTTCATGTCGGGAGACGAGTAGCGCCCACAAGGCAAGTTGGTGCAAAAGATTGCTTCGTGGAATAGGGACTTTTCCGCCATCGGCCAGCTAATCGCGCCCACAGTCACGTCGAACAGATGCCGAATAAGCGACAGCCAAGCTGGCATTCACCCTTTGAAAGTCTTCAGCGAGTCCCAACTCGATAGAGTCAATGTCCGGGTGCGTATCAATCACCGTGATGTTAGTGCTTTTGATCTCTCGCCAGTGACTGCAGTACAGTCATTGCTTCGGGCTGCTGCGGCACTGTCAAGACAGGACATCCCGGTTTAAGGATTTCTCTCTTTTCCCCGGCAATATCGTCTAGCATCGGGCCAAGGACATATGTATGCTCCATACCTAGACTCGTGATGACGCTCGCACTGGGGTTTCGCAGCATATTTGTCGAGGCGTACCGTCCACCGAGACTTCAATGATCGCAGTGTCGATAATCTCCCGAAGGAAGGCATGAAAAGCCACCAAGCAGAGAAATTTAGCAAACGGGGGCTAGTAATGGGTAGTTGTCAATGGAAACTGGTGTTTCGCATACATCCGAATGTAGCGACCATTGAATAGATGAAAGAGGGTCTATTTCTCTCATATCTGTTGTTTAGCTGTTGAAGTCTTTCAATCTGAATTCCTTGAACACGCAATATTTCATAGTTATATAGTTAAAGCGTGATCGTCAGTCTTAAACTGTCTCAAACGAACCCCTCAGGCCCTTATGTGTGGTTAGTAAGTCAGTATGCATGCGTTGACAAATCCGGAACATCATACTCGACATCATCTGAAAGTGACATTCAATGGCTTTCCCTCATAGTTCTTTATAATCCACGCGACAACCAGCTGAAGAAACCCTCGTTCAGCAGTCGAAGCGGAAATGCCAGAAAAGTGGAGCAATTTGACGCGTCGTCGGGTCGTCAGATAGCAACGAGTCTGTCTGGTCATCAATTGAACTCCGACCACTTGCTTTTTCGTGCTGACGCAGTCAAGCAACGACATGTGCAACTTACAAATCTGCCGAATTATTTCCTGACGTTGCAAGTCGATCGATATCCAGATTTTGGGATAGATGTCGACGCTGCATCCCGCGTTCCACCCACAAGGGATTGACGCCTGCTCCGCTGGTGAGATGGTCGCCTTTGGATATATGCAGGACTTTGCCGTCATTCCCATCGTCATTATCCCGCTGTTGATCTCTAGAAGACAGGGGAGATGGGTGCTTTATATGCGCCGGCTGGCATTTTTGTGCGTCTGTTTTCTGACTACCCAGACTATCCGCTACAGTCGCTGTTCGCTGGGGAGTAACCTCGTCATTGGGATCTGGTCTGCGTATCTCGCTATCTGGAGCGGCGTGTTTTTGGTTTTTCGAGACTTTGAAGAGTGCTTTATGCGAGTCGAGGAGCACGTCGTTATGGAAGACATCCAGCAGTCCCCCTGCAAAGACCAAACCTATACTTCTTCAGCCGCCATACAGCATGAAGAACCTTCCACAAGAAAGCGACACCAGCAACCAACATCCACAGCACCAGCATCCCAGAAGGTGCATCTCCTCCGCTGGCAAAAATACCCAGACACTCTTCTCCACCGCTTCTTCTGGGTCCTCGACATGCTCCTCAGTCTCAAAGGCGCCGGCTGGAACTGGGGGCCGTCATCGCAATCGCTGTCTCTGCCGAGACTCCTGCCATCTCGAACCCTCGACGACAGGAAAAATCCACTCCGCGCTCTGATGCTTACCTCCTCGCTCAAATCCCTAGCTCTATACCTGCAAATGCTCCTTCTTCAAGCTATTGCCCTGAGAGACCCCTACTTTTGGGGTCCCTATGCCCCGCCCTCTCATCAGCCGGCTCTAGTACCACAGAGCGCCTTCCAGCGAGCTACTAGAGCATGTCTATCAGCAGCTATGATATGGACTTCAATGGCGCTTATTGCTTCCTCGCTAGCTCTCGCTCATACACTCATCACAGCCTGCATCCGCTCGTTCCGCAACAAGACAGGCACAGTAGCCCTCGAATCCGCATGGCTCTCACATGCCGATACTCTACTTCTCCCTGACACAGACACCGAAGCACGATCACCACCCACCCCCCAAACCACAGCCACTCTAGAATGGTTCTGGGGCTCCTTCTGGCACCAGACCTACAGACAAGGTCTGGTAGAGGCGTCGCGGTGGCTCTTAACACCACTGGCAAAAACACACATAGACAGACGCTTTCGCACCACCGTCTTCCGCTTCTTGGTCTTCTCTCTGAGCGGTGCCATCCATTGGTGTGGGCTGTATACCGGCTTGGTGCCGGGGGGTGGATCCCCGTCGTGGCGGCCGGTTTTGTTCTTCGCGGTGCAGCCGGTGGGGATGTTTGCTGTGGGGTGGTTGAGGGGGCTGTTGCTGTCGTCAGGGAGAAGTGAGAGGTTGTGGAGGGTCGTTGATTTGGGGGTGACTTTTGCGTGGTTGGTGGGGACTGCGCCGTGGCTTTTGGATGAGTTGGCGTGGACGGGGACTTGGGTGCTTGATGTGCCGGGGTTGGGGGATGTTGGGAGGATGGTTGGGTTGGGGGGGTGATGTTGTATTCTCTCTTCTTTTCTTAGAGTATGTTGACCGTTTTGATAGATTCTATAGAGAAGCCTCGCTAGACTCAGTCTCCTTCGATGCTCCGCCTGTATATTTGTGTAAAGGTCTCGTTGGGCTCTGACTGGATTACTTTGCGAGATTGGATTGCGTCGTCTGAGTATCTATATGGAAGACTACACTCACGTTAATAATGGTCATGACTGCCAGACTGAATACAGCCTGGGGTTGCTATTCTCATCTCATCATCTATAGTTATGATACTCTAGTAGGCATCTGCATGATACAGTCATAAGCTCATCAAGGCAAGCCAGTGCATGCATGCATCCACCACCCTATAATATCCATTTTGTGTAATCTCATCGACCAAACTACGCCTTAGTCTCAATAGTCTCCACCACAGCAGCCGTCCTCTTCTTCGTAATCCGGAACCCACCCACCAGCAAAAACAGCGCCTCCAGCCCCAAAACCACAGCCAAAGTGATCATCGCTCCGATGACACCCGCCACAGTGCGCGTCACACCGTTCTGGGCGTCCTCATCCGCGGAGCTCGCCCCCGCCGAAGACGAACCCCCGTCGGAGCCTGCGCTCTTATCGCACTGCCCGCCGCATTGCTCGCACCACTCCTTATCCGACATGACAGCGATCTTCTTCGTCTGGGACACGAACTCCTCCCACGGGATGGTAGCGCTCGACTGCGCATAGAGTGCGTACTCGGAGGGCGATGCATCGCCGCTGATGGTGCCGTTGTGGAAGACGAAGCGCACGCTGATGTCCGAGGTGCTGGGGAACGAGTCGCCCTTTGCGTCCGTCACGAGCTCCCAGGCCATCGACGAGGCGTAGTCTGGGATGCCGGTGAAGTCGGCGCTGGCTTTGGGGAGCTGCGCGAGTCCGAAGTACGAGAGGAAGGTGCCGTAGGAGCCGAACTGGATGTTGAGCTTGGTTTTGGCGCCCTTATCGGTGACGGTCTTGGTGAGGGCGTTGAGCATCTCGCCGGCGAGTTGGGAGCCCGCGATGGCGCGCACGGTGTCTGAGGTGTTGTAGGCGAGGTTGTATTGCTCGGTGTTGGCGAGGTGGGAGAGTTGTTGGAGTTCCGAGCGTGTGGGTGTGTTGCTTGTGTTGTGGATGGATGCGACGTTGAGGTAGTCGAAGATGGCGTAGGCGTTCTTGAAGGAGATCTCGTCCGTGGAGAAGGCGCCGGTTAGTTTGTCGGACAGCGATTCGTAGAAGGACTTGGTGGAGTCGTGGAGCCCCTCGTACAGCGACGAGGTGTAGTAGTTGTTGCTGCTGATCTTGGCGTTCTGGCACCCCGTGGCGTCCTGTAGCCAGGTGTTGTCCTCGCTGTCGGTGCCGGTCGTGGTGAGCGACAGCGGGATCAGTTGGTAGCCGTCTAGGGGCGCTTGTATGGTGGTCTTGTTGGCTAGGGTCTCCTTGGCTGACGGTCCCACGGGGGGGTACACGCCTTGCAGGAAGGCCGTGGCCGAGTTCTGCAGCACGTCGTCGGAGGGCGCGGAGGCACTGATCTGACTGAGCTTGACGACCCCGTCGTTCATGCCCTCAATGTGGTGCCCCGAGTCGGCGTCGATATACCGGTTATGGTAGTATACACCCGTCTGGTGGACTTGGCTGTATCCCAGGTCGGTGAGCTCGGTGCTCCCCAGCACCTTGGGCGTCCGATCACCATGACGGGCGAAGATATAGGCGCCCAGCACCCTCTCCGCAGAGGCGGGATTGACAATGGTGGCCAGGAGGGCCAGAACGAGGCTAGAGGGCTGTGTGGGGGATCGCATGGTGAGAACAGACCGATAACCTTAGGACGACAGTCAATTGAGGGGAAGGTGGGCGGCAGGGCCCGTATAAGTAGTCCAATCCATCAGCCTGACCGGGCGGAAGATGCCGCGGAGAAGTCACGCCAAAAACTCTAGTCCTGGCCCTGTTATCGTTGCATCGTCACCGTTGAAACATTTGGTCGATGCTTTCTTTTACTGGCGGACCAGCTGGGTGGGGTCACCCGCCGGATAGTATCCGATGTTTTCCTCTCACAGCGATCAATGTCAGTGGGATTTACTGCTAGAAGTTCAAGAGTCAAGAGTCCATGGTCAATTGATCAACAATTGCATTGAGTTGTGTGGCGGTTGAGGAGTAACTGCGGGGATCGGAGAGTTGGAGATGATAGGCAGGCGAGACGAAAACGACCATGCGGTATCAAGCTTGCATTGCAGCGTATTTACTACACGGAAGTTTTTACCTAATTTTATCAGCGTGCATGCCTATCGCTCATGGGGAACACAGCATACAGAGGACGCTATCTATCGGATCTAACTGGGGGGTTTGCCAGTCATCGCACAGGAAGCCGGCTGGTATGGTTGTCGGCCCACATCCAACCCCCACTCTTGTATCTGCAGGTGGATGCTGTCCGGATTGGAATAGATTGTCGCGATAATTAGACGAGAACGATTGAATTGACGCTCTGTTGGTATGTGGTATGTTCATACATCATCCAATTGATACTTGTATCGCCAGTTGAATCTAGTAGAAAAAAAAACAAGAAAAAAGACCCAAACACCGTTCATGCATCGTTGCTCCTCTATCATCCCACTACTGCCCCACACCAACACTCTTGTTGCCCATCAATTCACATCCATTGCGCACCACTCCGACCACTCCTCCGGTCTGCATCGTCTCCGATCCTCCGCCTGCGAGTCGCCATTCGATCTCCGCAAGGCCCTGCAACCAGGTGATCCGAGTCTGTGGCGGAACCTCCAGCCGTTGCAGCTGCTCGGCCAGCGCAGCCAGGATATCAGCCAAGGCTAGACCCTTGCTGAGCTTGAGTGTGTTGAGAGTGTTAAGGCACGAGGTGACATCGCTCGTGGCCAGCAATGTAGTCATGATTTCCTGGATATCTGACGGGTGCGGCGCCGCAATGCAGTCGTAGATGGTTTCGTTGGTGATCAGCTCAAGCTCCGGTACGGGCTCGTCCTTGGGGGCATTCTTCAGTGGGAGCGGTTTACCTAGAATCGCGATTAGTTCGAACTTTAAGTGGAAACCTAGGGGTGGGGAGCGTACTGCTGGCATGGCACGCCTGGAGCACATTCAGCGCCCGTCGCATATCACCCTGACTCAACTTGACCAAGCTATCCACAGCGTCGGGTTGAATGTTAACCTGCTCCTGCTCAACAACCTTGTCGACTAGTACCCGAATATCTTGCTCCTTCAACGGGCTGAATCGGAATCGCGTACACCGCGACAGCAAAGCGGGCGACAGCTTGTGTGTATAGTTGGCGATAATGCAAAATCGGGTGTTGGCCGTATACCGCTCCATGATCCGTCGCAGCGCCATCTGCGCGGTCGAGGTCATTGCGTCCGCTTCGTCCAGAATGATCAACTTGTACGATGCGAGAGAGGAGCCGCCGGCTGTCTGGGGTGCCATGGAGAAGATCTGCTTGGTGCCTGTGTATACTTGTGAGCTGGAGGCGTCGCGTCACGCTGATTCTGGGCGGACAAACTGGCAAATGTCTTGATCTGTTCCCGCACCACGTCAATGCCTCGATCGTCACTCGCGTTGAGCTCCAGCACCATCTGTCGCATGTTCTTGGTGCCATATATCCGTCTCGCGAGGGCCAGAATCGTAGAGGTCTTTCCGGTTCCGGGGGGGCCGTATAACAGTAGATGCGGGAGGCGCTGTTACAGAGTCAGCTAGGATATTCCCATATGACAGCACGGTCTGCGCGTACATTCTTTTCCACAAATCGGTTAATCGTGGCGATGATATCGTGGTGTCCCGAGACATCCTCGAGGGTATCCGGTCGGTATTTCTCCACCCTACACCAGTCCGTCAGTTATGCCACAACAACGGTTCGCAGAGTGGTAGCTCACCAAGGCAGGTTGTCTTGAGCTTCTACTGGCAAATCTGCTGCCGGTCTCTTGGCTTTGGCGTTCGTGTTGTCGGAGCTGAACTGGACCTTGGAAGACGGGACATCCACGTCCATTGCATCTTCGACGTCGGACATGTTGTAAATCACGAGTGATATGCGAAGAGGCTAACTATCAAAGAAATCCGAGTGAAAGTACTGATAAGAGAGAACTAGCTGGAGGAATCACCGACCGAACCATCCAAGACGCGTAGAAAGACAGGCGCGTAAAGAGGTTCGGGGCCGGAAAATCGTCTCGACGGGAGCGACCGACAGACCGCCAGGAGAGACGGTCATTATGGGTGATGACATGAATACTGCCCACTCTGGCAAGCACCGCCTCCGACCTCCGCCCCTCAACTCTCTCCAGTGATCTTGGAATCATTCTATCTCCGCTCACCGTCTCCTTTATACATCGTCCGACCTTGTTTTGTTCGGGTGTGGTTGATCGCAACTCCCCATATAAATCACTATGCCCGTATGTCAACCATCCCCTACTTCCCAAAGCTCGTGGTGGATCCTCCTCCTATCTAACCCCCCGATCTAGGCGTACCACTCCATCTTCCTCGAAGACCGGGATGTCGGCTTAATCGGTCTGTTTACCCCAGTCTCTGCGCATAGCAATTGATAGATCTTGCTGCGACCTCGTCTACAGCTGGAATCGTTTCTTTCTCAACTAATCCCGCACCTCGTCCAGGCAACTTCCCCGTCCTCCCCCTCCGCACCCGCACTCGCGGCCCCGCATACACACTCCCCCCTCTGCCGCCCAACGTCTCCGACCTCGACGTGCCCACAGACAGCGAATCCTACGACTGCGTCGATGAAATCCTGTCGCTCTTCCGCGCCAATGTCCTGTTCCGCAACTTTGAGATCAACGGGCCCGCCGACCGCATGCTGATCTACGGCACTCTCTTCATCACAGAATGCTTGGGCAAGGTCCGCTCGAACATGTCCTCGCTCGAGGCGAGCAAGGTCCGTCCTTCCCTGTTGGAATGCATGTCTTCTATACTTATATCCGATAGGCCCTGAACAACGTCGCCCTCGATCACTTCGCTATCCCCGGTGACGTGTCGTTCCCCCTCAACCAGGCCTTTGAGCCCGCCCGTGACCGCCAGGATGCGGAGATGCTCCGCCAGTATGTCTACGCTTGTTATTCCGCGGCGTTTTATATTTGACTGGCTAATGCTGTGACTAGGTACATCTCCCAGGTGCGACAGGAGATCGCTATCCGGCTACATGCGAGGCTATACCCCGGTGGCGCTGGCCCGTCCAAGGTGAGTGGTCCTCGCTTATAGTAGCCAACGGACATCAACTAACAAATGGATACGCAGTGGTGGTTAAGCTTCGCGAAGAGAAAATTCATGGGAAAGAGCTTCTAGGCTAGGAGGGACTGGATAGATGGATACCGCTTTTTATTTGGTCACAATTGAGCGTATGAGAAACCCAATGGTCATTTCTGTGTTTCTTGAATTCTCTATGATGCGTCTTAAGCTGTTATAATATTCGTACATGAACTTTTCCTTTCCTCCCTGTGCTATGGCAGCTAAGCTGATGCGGCGGGGGCCGACAAGTGAGTCTCCAGTGACGGACCGATTCGCCCTGTTCATGCCTAGCTCCGTCGTATAGAACACAGATACTCGTCACGGGCGTAAATGTACAGCCGCATGGAGATCTGGCATGACGGGGTTCTGGAAAGGCAGTCGTCGAAGCGTGCTCGAACCCGTATCGGTGTGGTTGCGTTTCGTACATTCGATTAAAAAAAAAGGGGGAGGATCACGAATTCATTTCAACGTCCGCCCCAGTGCTACTATCCGCCGTCGTCGCGCCAGTGTCCATCCTCCGCCTCTTGCGACTGGGGTTCCCCGCAGCCTGGATAGTCTGCTGCGTCGGTAGCACTCGGCTGGCGTGGAATATGTACCCCTCGGCACCACCGCGCCCAGACATCATCGGGTGTGTCCGGCCCGGAAGGACCTGCCAGGAGCGCACGCGGGAAGTCTCAAGCGTAGGCGCCAGCAGAAGCGTCGGGTTAACGTAGAACTCCTCGGCCAGCTCGGGGTAAAACGGGTCCTGGGAATCGATCCCGGCGGCGCCCGTCGTCTTCTCTTGCTCTTGCCGCCGCTGGCCGAGTTGGTTGCGTTTTGTGATGTAGGCGGTCTTGCGCGCGGTCGAGTACGAATCCATCACTTCGGTGAGGGGCTCGATGACGGGCGAGTAGACGGCGACTGGGGCCGATCCGGACAGTAGCGGGACGGTATTTCGCAGGACGCTGATGGGTTTCATTAGGGTTGCGACGACGAGTCCGTCGAAGCCGCCTGCGCGGGCTTCGTTCACCACCGCTTGGGTGCGCTCCCAGCGTGCACGCTTCCGGTAGTATGTGCTGCGTTTGCTGGATTTGAGGGCGGCGATTTCGTCACTGGTGAGGAGCTCGGGTTCTTGCGCGTAGATGGTATCTTCTTGCGGTTCGAGCAGCTGGAGCCAGGAGACGGGCTTCAGGTGCGAGTAGAGCGGGTGCGTCTCGCTTGGGTTGTCTTGGTCGTAGCCGAAGTATTTGAGGAGCGACATGTTGGGTTGTTTGTTGGCGTGCAGGAGGAAGATCGAGTTGTCGGGGGCCGACATGTGCGTGTGGCGCGGATGCCGCGAGGCCGGCTGCTGCTCCCCTTGGGCACCTTCTGTGGATGGGACGTCGTCTGACCCCTGTTGTTCCCGGTCGTCCTCGCCATCGTGCGGGTACAGGATCCCCATCCGTTCCGCCATCGCCGCCACGACCAGCCCGCCCGTTTCGTCAACCACGAGATAGCGACCGCGGGGCTTCGACGCGACTGCGCCGTCGAGTGGCGAGTTCCCCGCGTGGTGCACATTCGCCCAGCACCCCAGCAGCCCGATCAGCTCGTCCCGCAGCTCCATGATGCGCGCGGCGTCCTTTTCCTGCAGCATATAGTTCGTCAAAAGGCTGACGTCCATCGGCACGACCGTAAACCGCTTCATGTACTTCTTCCGCTTGCGCAGGGTGTATTTGGCGAGCGAGAACGCCGTCTTCTGGTCGAGCGCCGAGTGCGACTCGAGGATCTTCGCGATGATCTCGCGCCCGGACCCCGTCGACTCCTTCTTCAGCGCCTCAATCTCCTCCAGGGTCAGCTTCTGCGCCGACCCGTCGTCCACGATCTCGCGGTTTGTGCGCATCGGGAGGCTCTCTCCGTTCACGTCGGGCTCGTCGCCGTCGCCTTCGCCGTCTGCGATCAGCGTCTCTGCGTGTAGTTCGGCTGCGGTGATCAGGCGCAGGTTGTGGCCGTTGTTTTCGCTGGCGTCGTCGAAGACTTCGAAGGTGAGGTAGAATGGTCGCCCGATGATCTGGTTGGCGGGGAAGGTGCCATATTTGCCGAGGAAGATCATTCTATTTTATATTAGCATACGCTCATCTCCGAGACCACGAATATGGTAGTAAGGGATATCGGTCATACGTGTCAGGCACCACCTTCAAGATCTTGGTCGCATCCGACGGCAGTCGGAAGGCGACATATTGATTGGGGCGCACGTAGGAATGCATCGCGCTCAGAGGATTGAGTCTGTGGCAATGCCTGTAACTTCAAACAGCTCTACCCTCTAGACTCAGACCAACAATGGCAGTTTCCAACCAAGTCAATCACACCTTCAATCGTGCCAAACTGGATCATCCGTCCTAATTTTTTTCTCTTTGCGATAACGCACGGGCCATGCGGAGTCGAGATAGTGATTATGTAATTATACTCACCGCCCGGAACATTGTATTATCCGGCCAACGTGTATGATTACCGTACTGTACACGGTATAGTTACCGACTGCTACAGGGAGTACTCAGTGACTACTGCGAGACCGTCATTTGGAGAAGTTGACCCACTTGGCTGCATCTCCGCCATTCAGCATCGTTGAAGCTACTGGGTACATCACTCCATAACCAACAGTGACGCGGTGGAATCTTGATCGATGTGATAGGCAACACCTCTGATCGCTGTGGATCCCTCTTATATGAACAGGTCGAACCACCACCGTCGTCACTGAAGCTAGTTGCTTCTGTCAATCCAGACCAAGGTTGGTTATAGGAACGAAAAGCATGGCTATCATCCCGCGCCAGCTCTATTCTTATGACTAGCCAATTCTACATCTTAACTACTGGTACCCTCAGCCTCTTTAATCTGCTCCAGGCTGACTGCAACAACCGTCACTCCCCCGTCCCAGCCTGGTCCGCCGGTGTCGCCTCTCTAAGCCACTGCCTAGTCTCGTTTACGATCCGGTGGTTTACAACTTCGCCTCAACCATCCATACTCCATTCGTGCACGGGGTCTTTGGGTTTTATTGTCCTTGGTTGCCCGGTTAGGATTCGCTAGCGGTATTTATATTCACGAACGGGGGTCCACACGTTGCTCCAGCCTTGCACGTCGGCGAGTGCGCCTGCTGTCCTACGTTCGCTATAAGAGCTAGCCTTATTCGCCTTCATGGTGTTGCGCAAGCGAGCTCCTCCACATCTGTCACTTCTCGGTCAAGGAAACGCCCCTGCGGACTTACGCTCAGATCCTCGCTTGTTGGCCCCCAAGACCGCTCCGACCGTAAAACCCGCGTCGTCGTCTCCCCCGAAGCGTTTGACCCGCCCCAGGCGAGCTCAGAGCTCTCCGCACCCCCACCGCGTGCCGTCTTTACAATCGGTCTACTCCCCTGATCTCCGTACGTCACCGGCCTTCAATTTGATGCCGTTGGAACAGGCTCAGAAGTCTCCGATTCGGAATTTCCCCGGCGACATCCCAGTTCCGTGGATGGACGAGCTCGTGGAACGGCCAGGCCAGAGTCGTCCCCAGTCGGTGGATTCGACACCGCGTTTCAATATGGAAAACAATACACATAACGAAGGACCCGTGGACGAGCGGGGAGGCCAGGGCCGTGTTCCCTCGATCCTCGTCGCGGGGAACCAGCGGAAAGCAGACGATCAACAAGCCTCTGCCCATGCTCCCGACGGGGAGTATGTCGGTCAGCCACCGGTGCAGTTGCAGTCCAACAATCCGTTCTTGAAAGGTCAGCCAAACCATTCGGATAACCGAACGTCTGATGCGGGATCGTCATTCATATCCCAGGATGGCGCAAGCGGACGACTAGGTCAGGGTGAGTTCAAAGACGCATCCTCTGTTAAAAAAATGTTGGCTGACCAAAAGTAGATGAAGGCTATATTCCCATGACTGCACGCATATCGCTTGTTGACGAAAGTAATTCGGAAAATCAGTCAGCGACCGAGACATCGAACGCGACTGCCCAGCATCAGCATCCGGGGCAAAGCCAACCTCCAGTTGATCAAGTCAACAACGATCAATATATAGCTTTGCCCATGTCTGCTTCCGATCCGCTTCGACCCATGTCATACGACGGCCAGGTGTCCGCGTACATGACACCGCCGTCGGGGAAGTTGTCGCCGTGCGATGGAAGCAACACCCCTGCGACCCCTTCAACACCAGCTACGGGCTCGTCTCACGTCCTCGTCGAATTCGATCAATCCTTGCGGTCAGAGCCTAGTCCTGCTGAGGTGCCTCCGCCGAGCTACGAGTTGGACAAGCAACAGGAAATCCACAAGGACCACGGAAAAGCCCCGTCTCTGCCGGATCGCTCGGTCACGGGACCCAGCGGCGCTGCCGTCTTTCAGCCCAGAATACTACCCCCTCTTTCCGAGGCCGAAGAGAAGCGCCAGAGAGAGCAACGGTCGGAGACCTATGCTATCAGACATATCAACTGGAAGGATAGCACGGGGAAGATGCGCGAATCCCCCATTTTGATTCAGAACAAGAATGGTCCCTGTCCGTTGTTGGCCCTCGTTAATACAATGGTTCTACGAGCCAGCGAAAACGATCCGCCACCCATCGTACGGGCCTTGCAGACCAAAGAGCAGATATCGCTCGGTTTGTTGATCGAAGCCTTATTTGACGAATTGACGACACGTCTGAGTCCTGAGGACGAGTTTCCGGATATTGAGGCTCTGAGCCGATTTCTAACTATGTTGCACTCCGGCATGAACGTCAATCCCCGGCTCACATTGGTATGATATCATTCTCCTTTTCTCAAATTAGCTGTATTGATTCCGTTTTAGACATGGAGGGAAGCCCTTGGGTCTTTCGAGGCCACCGATGATATTCAGCTCTATGGTACCTTCGGCGTGCCATTGGTGCACGGCTGGGTTGCGGCCCCCAGAAGCGAAGCTGATTATGCATTGGCTCGCCTAGGCCAGTACCACGAAGATATACAGCTGCTTCCCTTCCGCAAGCATGAGCTTGAAGACCGTGTTACCCGCGGGGAGTCGCTCTCTCCAGAAGATGAACAGGTTCTCAAAGATATCCAAACCATCGAGAAGTTTACAGATATCGAGAACGCGACTCAGTTGAGCGATTTCGGCCTAGATCATCTGGCCAAGAAATTGGCCCCCGGGTCATTTTCAATCTTGTTCCGCAATGACCATTTCGCGACTCTTTACAAGGACCCTCGTTATAACCGGCTTTTCACCCTGATCACCGATGCTGGGTACTCCAATCACGCAGAGATCGTGTGGGAGTCCCTGGTCGATGTAAATGGAGCCGTCTCGGAGTTCTACTCGGGCGATTTCCGCTCCGTGGACCATTCTCAATCTTATTCCTCTCCTGGGGCGTCCGACCCGTCCGGCCCACGAACATCCAGCACTGCTCTCAAAGCCCCGCCCCCACGGAAAGACGGGGCCCCGTTGACCGCTCAAGAACAGGCGGATGCGGACTTTGCCTATGCACTCTCGCTACAGTACCAGGAAGAAGAGCAAGAGCGCACGGCAGCCAATCGAAGCCGTGTCCGAGCACCCTCCACGTCCACGCCGCAGACCAACCGGGGTACATCCCAATCATCCGATCAAGGTCGTCGGCCCACTTCCACCCGCCAGTTTTTCCAGCCTCAGCGGGGCAACACCGAAGACGACGGGCCTCCGCCCTCATACGAACAGGCGGCTAAGAGTCCGGAATACTCCCCAGAACGAACACCTCATCTAGTGCCCGAAATCCCTTCATACACTCCGTATACCAGGAACCAGTATGGGCGGCGACCGGCCAGCGGTGCCGTCGGCGCAGGGCTACCTGATCGACCACGGGATCGGAACAAAGACTGCGTGGTTATGTAAATGCAGCTATCAAGCCATCTGGCGTGAGAAGGCTTTTTACAGCTCGCCCACACGTCAGCTAACTTTATGACGGACGATATTTATGATGCAATGTATTCTACATAGATACCAATAGCAACAGCGCCTCTAGTACGCCTTATCCTTATTGGATTTGTGGTTTTGGGATTCTCGCATTTGCCTTTTTTTTTTTTTTTTTCATCTTCTCCTGTTTTTTGTTCAGGGGAACACTTAGGGAATTTATGTTCTGCCTTTTTATGTTCTGCCTTTTTATGTTCTGCCTTTTTATGTTCTGCCTTTTTTTGCGGCCAGATACACATCATGCTACTTGGTATTGAGCAACGGCATCGGCTATCATTGATTTAATGCAATAATATACCTTTTGATTATTACAGGCCTTTTATCACAGAACTCTAACGCAGTGCCGATCGAGCTTTTGAAGATATTACATTGCTCAGATTGTTCAGTGGTGCATTTCGATGACCAGCAAATGTTTCCTATGAACGATCGACGAGAGCATCAGGAACTGGCCGAAACACTTTCCGTCTCAGTGCTGCAGAATGGCTCGCTCTAGACCTCGGCAGTCCAGTCCTAGTCAGTACTGATTGATTTCATTGGCGGGAAATTCCCTAGACATGGCCCTAGTTGGTCCTTATGCCGATAAGACTTCTTCAGGTTCCGGTTCATAGCTTTCTCCACTGAGGAGTGCTCTAATATATCATTCTGCAGACTCATATTTTCCGAAATCATCCTTAATCTGGAGATCGCATGGATGTTACGTCTCGGCCCGCCGGTCCGCCGGTTGAATAGGGTTAAGCTGTGGAGTGTATTCCTCCACCTCTTGTCCTTCCCTGGGAATGCTCCTATATTTGTTGATTGTTGCCGCGGATTGATTGCAGCGGCGTATTTCTGTGGGGTATAAGATGAGCGCCACCATGGTGTGATTTACCGGAAATTTCGCACCTCGTTAACGAGTTCGCAAGGGCCGATTGATTGACGCGATGGAATAACCACACAATAATGGCGTTTACTCGGAGACAGCTCCGTGTATTCTTGAGTCTGTGGACTTATTAGCTATGTAGCACTTAATCAGATATAGTCCCGTCCGTCACCTTCACCTGGATCGCGATGATAATCCTAGATCACGCCGGTCTTGCTTCACCCAACTGCCGTCTGAATTCTCGTTAACATGCGGCCTTCGCTTCTTCTCCCCCTGTCCGTCTTCCTCAAAGGCACCTGGGCCGCTCTTGAATGCCCCGGGTCATTCGAGGACATTTCGGCTGCGGACTATGTAGCCAACCTTCACCCAGGGTGGAACGTAGGGAACACTCTTGACGCGGTCCCTGACGAAGGCTCGTGGAACAACCCTGCTGTCGAGGCCGCCACTTTCGACCAGGCCAAATCGGCGGGATTTAAGAGCATTCGTCTTCCAGGTCCGTCGTACAATGGTCTCTTCGTATCTGGCCATAACTAACTTAAGGGAATAGTCACCTGGGCGGATCACTTCTCGGGCGAATCCCCCGACTGGACAGTCGACGAAGCATGGATCCAGCGCGTCGCCGATGTCGTGGACATGATCACCTCGCGCGATCTCTACACAATCGTCAACGTGCACCACGGTGGGAACCCCTCCAAAGCGATGGGATATCAAATGCAGAGACTGACATGAACAGACTCGTGGAAATGGGCCGACGTCACCGCAGAAGGAGCCAATATGACCGTGATCGAGGAACGATTCTACCGTCTGTGGTACCAGATTGGCACGAAGCTGGGCTGCACGTCTAACCTGGTTGCCTTTGAGCCTATCAATGAACCCCCTTGCAATGATGAGAAGGACGCTGCTGAGATCAATAAGCTGAATGATATCTTCTTGAAGGCGATTAACGATGCCGGTGGGTTCAATGCTCAGCGCGTGGTGACGCTTGTTGGGGGTGGTGAGGACAGCGTCAAGACTTCGCAGTGGTTTGAGGCTCCGACGGGGTACTCGAATCCTTTCGCGATTCAGTTCCACTACTATAGTCCTTGTGAGTCTATTCCCAAGTCCATCTAACCACCATCATACTAATCAAGCTCTAGACGACTTTATCTTCAGCGCATGGTGAGCCTTAACCCCATCTATACCCCCACCCCATCCCTAACAGATATCCAAACAGGGGCAAAACAATCTGGGGCTCCGACGCCGACAAAGACGCCGTAACAACAGACTTCAAGCTCCTCCGCAACAACTTCACCAAAATCCCGCTCGTCCTCGGCGAATTCGACGCCTCCCCAACAAACACCGAGCCCGCCGCCCGCTGGAAATACTCGGACCACCTCGCCCGCACCGCAGCGGCGCACAACGTCTCCTACATCCTCTGGGACAACGGGCTTGACCACCTCGACCGCAAATCCGGCGTCTGGCGCGACCCCGTCTCTATCTCCATCCTCAATAACCCCGACACTGGCGTCTCCAACAGCCTCCCTGATAGCACGCAAGACGCCGCCACTACAACCCAGCAGTCCTCAGCCTACATCTTCCACCAATCCGGCGCGAAAGTCACCTCGCAAAGCCTCCCCTTCATCCTCAACGGCAACGCCCTCCAGACTATCAAGCTCTCCAACGGCACAGCCCTCAAACCAAACACAGACTACACCCTCACGGACTCAAAACTCACCTTCCCAGCATCCTTCCTCTCCAGATTCTTCTCCGCAACTACCGCCCCCGGCGTCCGCGCGACTCTCTCCCTATCCTTCTCCGCCGGCGCCCCCTCCCGCATCCAGCTCGTCCAGTGGGATAAACCCGTCTTGAAGAAGGAATCAGCGGCCGCTTCCGCCGTCGCGGGCTCGGACCTCCCTATCCCTGTTACGTGGAAGGGTCTTGCTAAGCCAGCTGCTGTTAAGGCACTTACGAAGGATGGGACTTACCTTGTTGATGATTGGACGGAGTATTTGGGGCCGTTGCAGCAGGCACGAGCGGTATGTTTCTTCCCATTTCTCCTTCTTCTCCATCAGAAATATAAATACTTTTTTTACCTTGCATATATGATCCACGCCTATCCAAGGAAGAATACTCACTAATACTGGAAATGGGGCGGGTGCAACAGACATACAGCAACCATTGGAATTGGGATGCGACGAATGTTATCCTCACCGCGGATGCTATTGACGCGGTGGTCGCTGCTAAGCAGGACACTGTGTTTACGTTTGAGTTTTTTCCCAGGGTGGAGGGAGGGGCGAACTCTGTTAACTTTACTTTGACGGTTTGATTCTGCTTAGCTGGGTGGTTGATAGTTGGGGATGTTCGGTATGTATGTCACATTATAAGTCTTCATTGATAACTACTAGTAGTCGTCCATTCTGTCTTTGTCTTGTCATATAACCGCATGTCCCGTCCCGTGCAAATCATTGTATAGCACGGCTATCTGTTCCTTCCCAACATAAACAAATGAATAAAATAAGAAAAAAACGCCCATGCCCCATAAACAGCATACCCAAATAAAACAACCGAGATAATAAAGAAATCAATATAAAATCTTCAACTCCCACAACGGCAAATGCGGATCATACTTATCCCAAACGATCCTATTCCGCTCATCAAGATGCGCCCTCTCATCCGTGATAGCAATCTCACTCGGCGTCTCCATCACCTCCTGCGCACTAAACCCCCACTTATCTCGCGGAATCCACAGCGTCGGCAGACGCGCCTTGACGCAAGGCTCGTAGTAGGCGTTGAAGCGCTCCTCCTCGGAGCACTTAATCTCGACGTGCTCGCGCCGCACTTTCCGCCGCAGCGCCGCGTAGTCGCGGTACAGGTTGGGGTGGAACCACTTCCAGGCGGCGGCCCAGCGGCTGCGCACTTGTTTGATGTGGGGGTGGGTGGTGGAGGTGGAGGTGGGACTGGTGCTGGCGTCGGTGTCTGTGCGGAAGGAGTCTTGTTTGGTTTTTTGGGTCGCTTCTTCGGTGGCGAGCGTGCGCGGGAGGAACGTGTTGAGGGGTTGGAGGGCGTCGTTGAGGGACATGTGGGCTAGGGTCGTGACGATTGTGAAGAGGACCATTATTATGAGTGGGCCGATGGCGCTTTTGATGGCGAAGAGCCCGATCATGCAGATGTTGGCTAGGTAGATCCCTGTTAGGAGGTGTTGGAGGGCGCGCGGGTAGACGAGGCCCTTGGTGTCGATGCGGAGGTCGTAGACGAAGAGTAGGTTATAGCGGTAGGCCTGGTATACGAGGTAGAGGCCGATGAAGGCGAAGCCGAGGATTAGAGGTGCGATGCAGGAGTATGTTAGGGCTGTTGATGTTAGCTTTTCCTTCTTTTTCTTTTTATTTTCCTCCCCAGCGGTACAGAATGAAAGCGTCGACATACCGATAACTCCCATGTTGGTAAAGACAGGGAAGATATTTCCCCAGCTGATGCCGCCGAGCGCCGACCACCGCTGGTACAATTGTCGAGGGGACCGGTCGAAGAATGTAGCCATGAACTTGAACACCAGCACCCCTGCTACCTGGACAACTGCCATGGAACTCATGGTCAGACCCTGCAGGAGGAAGTATGCGATGTAAAAGTTAGTCGCCTTTGGCAGGTTCTCTGCGAGGAGGTCCTTTGCTGATAGCGGATCCTTGATAATCTGCTGAGTGGCCGCCGATGCCGCGGACGTTAAAGTGGTCACTAAAAACACTTGTACCACTTGGAAGCAAAAGTGCGCGCTCTGCGTGAAGAGCTCAACGTGAGAATTGGACGGTACGCCAGCACAGCGGGCGCAGACTGGTAGGGTTAGCTAGTCTGACATGCAAGGATATACATGTGTACATACATCGGCAAATAATTGGGACTAGAGACATCAGGAGAACCAGAGCACCTGATGGTAGCAGCCCTGATATCACACCCTTGATTTCATCGGGGAGCTTGTCGATAAAGCCGAGAAAAGGCAGGGTTTTGGTGAGATAGGTAATATTAGATATCAAGCCAACCGCAGCCGCCGGTACGGACCAGAATACTATCAGGGCCGCGATGCCGCCTTTGACCGCGAATTTGCGCACGACGCGTTGCCACCAGCTTAGATTCAGCGCCGACCACACCACCTCCTGGGGGGAGATGCCAATGTATCGCGGAGTCATGTGCATAGGCTGGTGGTGTGATAGGGTCTGCAAAGCGACCTGGGCATCGTTTTGCGTTTCAAATTCAATGAACACGGCCGACAAATATTTCACCTCGCCATCTTTATGCTTTTGCTGCAGGTGGTTCACCTCTTCAGTGACCTCGCGGAGTTGCTCTCGCAGCCAACGGATAGTGTCAACTTTTTTCCCAAACATCTTAGGCCGGTGCGTCGGTCGTTTGATATGGTGATACACGGAAAAGTCCCGGCCTGCCTCGCAGTCATGACGTGCCTCGTTGGTGAGGCTTCCTTTCTTCAAGACCTTTCGACGTGCGGAGTTCGCAGCTCGAATCAGCTTGGTCTCAGCGCTCTCCAACCGGTATGCCAAAGTTTCCTGCCTGGAGACTTGTTTCTGTAGCTCCTTGCAGTCGGAAGTAATCCAAATCCGTCGAATCGATTCGCCGAATACCTGGCGTAACTTTTTCTCGTTCTTGTAATCTTCTGGGACGGACATGAATAGCACCGTTCGAGATGATATGCGATGAATGTAGGCGGGAGAATTGAGATACGCCTGTCGCAAATTGGCGTAGAATATGCTCTCCCGAGTTACCACATAAAAGACGAATGCTGTCGATGTTAGTGGTGCTGAGATGGAAGCTAAGGGACACATACTGAAAAATATAATGGCCACGACAGCGTGTGCATAATATCTCGTGGGATCTTTCACGTTGCTAAAGCTCAGCATGTCAAGCTGCGTGTTCCCTGCGCCGCCAGTGGCATGGATAGGAAGCAGAATCGGCCATGTTATGAGACACCCGGTGAAGCAAGTGGAACTGAGCACTCTTATAAACCGAAGGAATAGATATCCATCCATGGACGAAGAGTGAAGCACGTAATCATCCGAGATCTTGAGAAAACTCCCAAACCAGTTGAGGAATCCTGACGGTAGTTCAGGGCTCCGCTCACTATCAAGCTGATGAGTAAATCTCCGAAAACCGTGGGCTCTAGATGGGTACATACTGTTCGTGCCAGCACGGTAGATGAGTCCTAGGAGCGTACCACCGTTGCTGGGTTCGTCGGCAGATCAAAAACAGGCCAAACCAAAACACCGCGATCACCAGCGCAGGGAGGAGAGTTGTGATAAGCGCGGAAAGTGACGTCGACCCCTCGACACCGAAGTTCTCCATGGTCTCTGAGGTCTTGGTCGAGGCATTCCCCTGCGCAGAGCCGACATTGGGGTCATTGTTTGGATCCTGCCAAGGCGTGTCAGAAAACGAGATTGTGGGGTCGAGATATTGTTTGATTCGACCTACCAAAAGGTCCTGCCGCTTCACAAGGACATCGAACCAGCGGAAGTCAGCCATGGTTACCTACTCGTGGCCATGGACTGTTGGGACGAAAGCAGACAGTGCAGGTTATACCACACATTCGGGGTTGTGAGTATTCAGGAGCTGGTCTCGGGGCAGATTCCCTGTCAAAAAAATATTCAGCGAGCGGGCCGTCCCACTACTAAGGCTAGGACTCCATGGCAGCTGAATCCCAGACTTGTTGGACCTGTCAGTGGTACTTTTACGTACGATTGCACAATGCACATAGTGACGGCTGGCTGGCGCATAGAATTAGCGCAGTGTGACGGTGGATCCAATGCCATTAGCGGGCTGGCCGGACCAAACCATTGGAATGCATGCGCGATCCTATCGCGATGGATTTTCTCTCAGGGGCATGCTGATTGGATTGACATGATCCTTGCCATAGATAGGTTCACACAGAATGCGGTCGTCGGCACCGCACCGTATGTTGATCAGGGGAGGGCGGAGCCATGGGGCCAGATTTGGAACCATGGAAAGAGATCGAAAGGACCGAGAGATCACAAAGGGCCGTCCATCGAGGTGGAATATGCATGTAGATCGGCTGGGAGAGGACGCCGTCGCGGTTAGCAGTCACTAGTGCCCCGTCCGCCTGGGGATCATCTACTCTGTTACCATATTGGGGATAGGCCGATCATTGCTGGGGTTGACATTCCGACATCCTCAGGAGGATGATTGGTCGCCACGCCCAAATATAACTTATTGCAAGGGCTAGCAATGTGAATAGGAGGGTCGTACTCCAAAGTAGGAGTGTGATTAACGGACGTGGAACGCAAAGAGTATCGGAAGTCATCGCATGTTTCTTTTTCGATGGACAAATGGGGCTGCCTAGCGCGATCGCAAACAGCCCCAGTAGCGAACGAGCGGGAGTTACTCGGTGTTCAACACGTCCTCACGACTTCCAAATGAGAAAAACAGCAAACCATGCAAGGGGGGTAGGTCTCTTCGGATTAACATCGCATGGCTCGTGTATTTGGCTGACAGACAACCACGAGGCCAGTCCTTAATTGTACTTCGTATACTATATGTGAACAGAGAGGGCCCAACCTTTGAACCAAATGATTTTGATACCATCGCCACGGGTGTCCTCAATATTCCTCGTTGACATGTTCAGACCTGGACAATCTGGAAGCGATTCTTTCAAGAGCCAAAGGGGATGGCTGGCGCTATTAGAGAAGGATTCAATTGCGTCCACCCTTACTGCGCAAGAATCAACACGGCAGTGGGCAGGTCCCCTTGCGGCAAACATGTTGGCAATCACGGAATGGATTCTATTACCATCCTTCTGAAATAGTTGTAGTCACAGAACCTCAACCTCCCGGCCTTTTTTTTTTTATTTTATTTTTTTATTTTTTCTCTTGGGGGTCTTTTTACTGGGCAAAAGCATAACCCATCCGAGAAACACTAGCATTGTCTCTGTGCATGAGACATTCCCAATCGTCATCAAGTCATTGCATAATCAATAGCGCGGGGATGTGATATCAGACTTCCGCTAAGTTTCACAAAGCAAGGTGTACTGGGGAAAATGTTGAAGTGTCGTTTTACTGCGCGTTCCCTTGAGCGTTGCTTCTAGTATTCATTTATCACGAGGCGTGTTATTTTGACGGTTCAAGATCTAGGGACAATTTAGTGTTAAATGATTAGCTTGTTAGCGGTGATATGAGCAATCAATGGTATCTGTGCCCAGGGTGACTGGATCTCTGCCGACATCAATATGACCTCATCTGTGATCTAGGTAGCTTGAAATTCTTATTAATTTAGTGATCAATTAGAGCTCTGGTTTCGGTCATGATAATCATAATTTAATAGCTGACCACGGTGACGTGTACCAAGGAGTAGTCAACCTGCGAGGCTATTGTCCTGGAGTCTGCAAATATATGTAATCAGTGCCATGTCACTGGGTTACATTAGGATATGCCTGTAGGGGGTGAAAGTTCTTCTATGTAATCCATTGACATCATAGAAGTTTTTTTTTGAAAGCATCTCAGGTGACAATGAGAGACCTTTAACCCATACGGGGTACAGAGTAGTGATGAGGATGAGGATGAGGACCAATCTCATAGATCGAACCGGTTGATCTTTACCCGAAGTAGACCAGAGGCGGTGGGGAGTAGCAGTATCCGTTGCCCCATAATCCGCGGTGTATTCGTCCGCATCTACGAAGTAGTTAGCTGTTGACCTTTGTTGACCTTTTCCTTGCTCGGGTTCTTGCTTCTCAGAGATGTCGCCTTCTGACAGGGGCACAGCAATGGAGGGAGAGAAACAATGCTCATCCGGTTCTGCTGATGGAGCCCCCGTCATTTCACCAGTCGAATCAAAGCAACCGTTTCCACCCCTCTCTCCTGATGACCTCGCAGCAACGTCCCATAATACCTATGAGAGCATCTACGCAGAGGAGGACGAACAGGGACTCACATCTCCAAACCATGCGGATGTGGAAGTTGAAGACGACGATGTGGATTTCCAGTCTCACTACTCCCTGGACAACCAGTCGTTTTCCGATGCGTCCACGGATTCGGAGGAGCTGTCTCCGGACGATGGCATCGGTATGCACCATCCATTTCGACAATCCTCGAGCTCTCTCCACGGTCCGAATGCCTTCGCGCCACCATTCTATAATCGACCGCCAACGCCGCTACCTCCATCACCATCTTTGACCTCGCTCCTCAGGCCTCCGTTTTCGACCACTACTTCTCGCCCCACCACCCCTGATAGTTCCGATGTGGAAACACCCAATGATACTGAAGCTGCCGTTGCCAAGTCAGCCCGGCGTGCGACAACTGTTCCGCGGGCGAGCCCGAAAGTGCCTACCTACGAATACTATGGCTTTGTTCTCTACCTGGGCTCTTCGCTGGCCTTCCGTAAGTTGGATTCTGTAGAAAGGGCGGGCTCTTCGGTGATGCTGACATCTTTAGTGATCTATATTCTCTGGTCCTTTCTTCCGTCCCCCTTTCTCCATCAGCTTGGCATATACTATTACCCCAACCGTTGGTGGTCATTGGCATTCCCCTCTTGGCTGGTGATGTCCATTATCTACATTTATGTCGCCTTGGCGTCGTACAATACGGGCTACTTGACTCTCCCGATGAATAGCATTGAGAACATCGTGGATGAGGTGGCCAACGTGGCAGTGATCGACGGTAAAGCCAGAAGGCGACCTGGTGGCGCCGCGCAAATGCGGCCTGGTGCAACCTCATATCAGATCATGGGACCCCAGAATCGGAAGGTCAATTGGCCAGAGATATGGAATGAGGGGACCGATGCCGTGATGGATATCCCTGTGGGGGGCGTCTGTGAAGTTTTGTACGGCCAAGACCGGGATGATGATGAGTTGTATGATGAGGTATCCGATGCGAGAGAGACTTGACCAGCCGGTGTTAGAGTCAGCTTACACTTGAAATCTCGTGAGAAAACGAGTTGTCTGGCCTGCTGATCGGCCAGCGCATTCTGAACGCTGTTCAGTGTTCGCACATTTGCTTGCTTCCACGCAAAATTACTGGTAGCAAGCGGGTAGGCCTTCATTCACACTGACGAGTTGAATGATCGCAGAACAAAATCCTTGGATGGCGAGCTGAGCCAACTCCCCCAGACAGATCACCAGGCATGGGATCAATGGGTCGCGGGTATCCAGATATTTGGAGTTCTTCAGTATCCTCTGCCATTATCGGTATTGCTTGGCGTGACCTTCTTCACCCGTGCAATATGGGCGTTTAGGCATACTCCACTCACCCGGCCCAGTCCAATTGTCAACGAGACCGGGAGGGAGTACTTCGTATACAACAGAGATTGACGCGGACTACTATACTAGCCACCTCCCTGGAACCCGTCATTTGCTACAAATAAGCCAAACGGTGTTCTAGAAATTCAAAGTGCTGGTTGTATACTTTGACCTCTTGATACAGGGAATACCCGCGTCTCCTATGAGAAAGATGGCGGAATTGAATGTGGACGAAGCACAAAATACCTATCAACCTATATACTACCATAGAGATTCTTCATATATAAGACATCCGTGCTGATATAAGGAGGATGACGCCCGTATTGTCCCTGTCAATCTCTTTACAGGTCACAAACGTTAGTAGCATGGGGCACGTTAAGCTTGCAGGGTCCAGCCCACAGCAAAAAGCAGCTAAGGCAAGCCCCGTTCGACCTGAACAACAGAATAGATTAAAGCCCTAGATTTCAAGAATGAGAAGAACAGAGTCCAGCGATTGACAGTTCGTAGACAGCATCCCTACCTGAGGACACGGTATGGCCATCCCCTGACAAGGGCGCCTAGAGCGGCTAAGCCCGCGTGGGCGCCTAGAGCAGCCAATCTCGGTCGAGTCATCTCCGAACTTTGAACCCCAGCCTGAGCGAACCACAACGAACCAAACTTCGCTTCAACGCGCCATCGACTTGCTCACCGTCTGCTTCCCCCCCCAGCCCTCCCGCCTGCACCTACCGGGACGATCTCCTTTTCTTCTGTCCGCATATCCCTTGTTGACCTCGAATTTTGTCGCCTTGTCTCTCTTCATTACTTTCCGGTCTTATCGGCCACCTCATCGACATCCGTTGTTGTTTACTTGTTCCGCTAGCGCTGACACGGTCGGGATCCTCGTTTCCGCCGGTGTTGCCCGCCGTGAGACTCGAAACGGACGGCTCTAACTTTAAGTCTCCGAACTTTGTGGATCGATATAGCCTCAGTGTGTACAGTTTTACTGCATTGTTCTGTTTTACGCCCGGATCTTAGGACCGTCTGAACTCCGCCAGACGGAGGTGCGGTCTTCTTCACCATTACCCCGTCGGTCGGACGCTTTCCCACCCCAACCTCCTCCCGTGGTGATTTCGCATGGCGTGGCAATCCCCTTCACCCATGGCTGGGGGTGGAGGATTCGCCGGACCTGGTGGTGATGGGTCGCCTAACGGTGGACAACCTCATGGAACGGAGTACACATTGCAAGGTGGGTTCTCGGCTAAAGTACCATCCCCCCTCGGACTTCTCAGACTGACCGGTGTCGCGATTCGATGTAGGTGTGATGCGCTTTTTGCAGACAGAATGGCATCGACATGAGCGAGACCGCAATGCGTGGGAGATCGAGCGCGCGGAGATGAAATCTCGCATTGGGCGCTTGGAGGGCGATGTGCGGACGGGCAAACGGTTAAATGAGTCGCTAGGGAAGCACGTGCGCTTGCTCGAGGCCGCATTGAAAAAGGAGCGTGAGAAGGTGAAGAAATTGAGTAATAATGAGAAGGTTGAGGACACTCGGGATGCTAAGGAGATCGCCCGCGAGAGCTTAAACGCCATCAAATGTATGTTTTCTTGGTGTGTCGGTCACGGTCGCCGTCGTGCTTTACTGATCCCCTTTTCGTTCCCCCTATAGCGCAACGCCCGAAATTCCCAATCGATGTCGGCGACAACGATGCCAGCGCAGAAAACCATCCCGATTTCCGACAAGAATCAGAACGAGACAAGTCGCGTCTCTACCTGTCCAAGGCCTCCCAGGAAATCACATACCACGTTATTCCCTCGTCGCAGCCGCCCCTTGATCTCAGCGACCAAGACCTTTCCAACCATGTTTACGGGGGCCAGCAGCTGCCCCAGCAGAGCTTGGAGGAAGCATACATTCAACAGCAGCGACAGAAACAACAGCAGCAGCAGGCCAACCATATGATGGCCCGCGAGGTGGCTTTGCAGAACCACCAGCCTATGGCGCCTCCCTATGGCGAGAATCAGGCTATGAATCGTTCCATGAACCGGTTCGGTATCCATCCCGCTCCCAGGGACGGCCTGGAGCGCAGACCGCTGGAGGCGCAACCCCCGGCCGCGTCCGTTGAGAATAGGAGACACTCAATAGAAACTGGTCCGCCAGACGGCGGTGCAGCTGAAGAATCCCAGATGTTTGAAGGCCATGCAGCACCTGGTGGGAAGGGCGACATGACGACTCAACCGACGGAGGATCAGTCGGACGACACCGATGGTTGGAACTTTGACGAGCCGGAACAGGAGCCTCCGACAGAGCCAATGCCGCCTCATCGCCCGGATGTGGATGCTTTCCCGAACGCCAATTTCCCCAAGTCCCCGCAGCGATCTGCGGCCCTTTCCCATCGTCGGAAGAGCTCCGGGGCGAGGCGCAAGAGCGAGGGTGCTACGGACATGGCCGGCGAGGATGCGAAGCAAAACTCGCATTTTAATGTGCGCTTTGTTCTCAGAGGACATCTCGACGTCGTGCGGGCGGTGATTTTCACCGGTGGCGGTAGCCCTTCGGAGCCTGAAATCTGTACGTGTAGCGATGACGGGACGATCAAGCGCTGGACTATCCCCGCTACGTTCGGGAACTTTGGCCCTCACGGGCCTAACTCCGATAACAACTTGGACATCACGAGCTACTTCACCCATCGCGGACACACCGGGGCCGTAACTGCCTTAGCGGCGTGCTCTCCGCAGCAGAATTTCTCCAACGGAGGTCGTGCGACCGGCGACGGATGGGTGTTCTCTGGTGGACAAGACGCTAGTGTCCGCGTGTGGGAACGTGGGAGGGTTGATCCAAAGGCCACGTTGGACGGCCACACTGATGCGGTTTGGGGGCTCTGCGTTCTGCCTGGCACGGCAGGGTCCATATTTGGCGATGACTGTAGCCATTACGGTGGACCAGATCGAATTCTGCTCGCATCTGGTGGTGCGGATGGGCATATCTTAATATGGGCGGTTAGTGCGCCGCCCCAGCTATCTTCACCCCAGGCAGGTTCGCGACGAGCTGGGGGAAGTCGACGTGCGAATTCGATCTCTTCGGGATCGAACTTCCCGTCATCCCCGCAGCCGAGCATAGCCACAACTACGCCGTTCCACTACTCCCTAGTCCGCAAGATCGTCCGGACCGAGTCCCCGTCCCCGACATGCATTAGCCCGCTGTCTCTTGCGGGAATCAACTTTGTGGTTTCTTACACTGATGCTTCCATCCTTGTCTACGACACGCGAACCGGAGAGGAGATCGTGGGCATGGCCAGCTTGGAGACATACGACGGTACGCCATCGACTGGGGTCAACAGTGTTGTGACCAGTACGATCGGATTCGACGGGTCCGCTAACCTCGACCCCGCCCGGCAAATGGCCGAGGAAGAAGTGGTACACGGCGCGACTGGGTCGAGTGGCGTGGAGGGTGTGATCATCAGCGGATACGAGGACAAGCACATCCGCCTGTTCGATGCCAACAGTGGTAAGTATAAGTGATATGCCCCGACATTATGGAAGACGATATGCTAACGTTTGCCCAGGCCAATGTACCTATGCCATGTTGGCCCACACGGCCCCCATTGCCTCCCTCTCGCTGTCCCCTGACGGACGGGAACTGGTTTCCGCTGGCCACGACGCGAGCCTGCGGTTCTGGGACCTGGAGAAGCGGAACTGCTCCCAAGAGATGACCAGCCACCGACCGATGCGGGGCGAAGGGATCACCAGCGCCGTGTGGAGCCGCGACGGCCGCTGGGTCGTCAGCGGGGGCGGTGATGGCATTGTCAAGGTGTTCTCGAGATAAATGCGACCCTCGATGTACGATTTTATTTACTATTCTATATCCCCCGCTGATACCTTTCTTCTGCCCCGTGTACTTTGGACGTACGAATGGATGAGCGCTTGGCTGATTCTTGAGCATTTGCAACGGTGTTCACTTACCCCTGGCACATGTTCCTTTCGACTTGTGTGGTTATAGTTTTCTTTCCCCCTTCCCCTTATGTGCTACACTTTACGATTCATCTTCACTTTCTCTTCTTGGCGATCTCCATTTATCCATTTTTTCTTTCTTCTTCTCACTCTCTTCTACCTTTCCTGTATGAAGTCTTTTGTGTCGGAGGGTTTCGCTGGAATACACTTATATTTACATGGATGCTCGAATCAGCTTCAAGCGGCGATGATAAGCCTGCATTTTCAAGATCGTGTCAATCGGAGTTCTGGGTTTGAATTTGTTCCTGTACACCAGACAATACCTACTACTATAAGCTTCGGCATCTACCTACCTAGTACTTAACTTACTCGAGCATACTACATACCTCCCTAGCAGTATTGCCCTTGCCTTGGATAGACCTACGGAATTGAACGATTTTCTAGCATATAATGGAGCAAGTAGAACTGATGTGCCAGATTTATGAGAAATTAGTGGCTCTTGTTGAACATACCCATAAGCACAATCCAGCCAGGTATCATAGGTGGTAGGTACAATCATCCATCAATCAATCAGTAATTACCGACTCGACCCCCAAGCCCCCTTGAACAAACCTCTCAACCTCTCCGCCTCCCCCTTATCCCCAACCCTCTGCTCCAAAAACCCCTGCAAATCATCCCAAAACGCCTCCGTCCCAAGCACTCCATCCCCGCTAGCCGCTGCCGCCTCCGCCGTCGAGGGCTGCTCCCGCTCCTCCTCCTGCTGCTGCTCCTGCTGCTTCTCAACAACCAACGCACCCCCCATAACCATAACGCCAAACTCCACCGCCTTCCCACCACTCAACATCCCAGGCTCATCAGCGACCACCTCCGCGATCGTCTTCCCGGACACCGGCTTCCGCTTATACAGAATCTTGATCTTCTCGAGCGGGACCTTGTTCCCCGCGGCGTCGGCGACGACGCGCGCCTGCACGGCGTCCTTGAGGTCCTCGACGGTGGTGGTCGACAGCGGGGCGTTGGGGACGCTGAATTCCAGAACGGGGTTGCGTGCGGATTTCACGTGTACCGTGATCGATTTGGATGAGCCGGGGGCGGCGCGCTGGTTGGCGGTTCTTTTGGGCATTGCTGGGTGCGGGGAGGGGAGTTTGGGGAGGACGTACTGTTTTTTTGGAGGGTAATGTTAGTGGGTTGTTTCTTTGGTGTTCATCATGGGAATTCTTCTTTTGCTGATGCTGCTTGCTTTGGGGGGAGATGAGAGGAGGGACATACCGGTGCGCGGAGGGGCACTCGCTCCGGGTCGATGACATAGTCGGCGGGGAGTTTGACGGGTCTGGAGTCGAGGGAGTTGAGGAAGGATTTGATGAAGCTGACTTCTGTCATTTTGGCGTGTGTTGAAATTGAATCAGGGAGATATTAGGTGGTAGGATAGGCAAGAGAGGGAAGTAGATAGGTGAGTGGACTGGTTTGATATCGGAGCTCAAGGCATTAAGGTGGGCAGTTGGCAGCTTGCGGGAACTTGCCTGTTTCGGTCTGATGGGGTGCTGCTTTACTCAGCTCTGGTAAAGCGGCAACAGTTGGCGGAAGAACAACAGCCTGAATTTACAGGCAAAAGTCTACATACACCGCCTTCAACTGCCACCCTCCACCGCCGGCGGAAAGAAAAGAAAAGATGGGAGAAAAAAAAAATCCACCCGATCTGTCGCATAACAATTTCACCCAATTCCTTTTTTTTTTATATTCCCCCACCTTTAATCGTCACAATGGGTGTAGGACGTCGTATGAAGAAGCAGGGCCCTCCGGCCCCGCTGGATGCGGAAACGATTTCGATGATCAAGAAGCGCAAGGCTGGTGGGGATGTTCAAGGAAACAAGACCGAGAAGCGACGGAAGGCCGAAGACCTCAAGCCTGTGAAGGCTCCCAAGAAGACCAACGGAGCCGCTGTGAACGGAACGACTGCTAAGAAGGTGGTGGAGGAGAAGAGCAAGGGAAAGAGCAAGCCTGTCGAAAAGAAGCGACAGATCTTGGAGTCCGACGATGAGGATGAGGATATGTCCGGCATCGAGGAAGCAGACATGGACGACGAGTTTGACGACCTTGATGGTGTGAGCGATGGATCGATGGGTAGCAGCCAAGAAGAAGACTCGTTGGTCGACTCGGACGAAGAAGACCACCCCCGCGAAGCCATGTTCTCCGACGACGATTCCGATGCGGAGGAGAAGTTGACGGCGGCCAACATCGAGGGTCTGTCGCGGAAACTCGACCTGGAGAGGGAGGCAGAGGAGGAGGAAGCAGAGCGAGAAATGCAGGAGGCGGCCATGCAGACGAACATCGCCGGCGACCGTCCGGATGTGTTTGGCACTGAGACTGGACACCCCGGTATGGCGCCCGACTTGCAACTCCTCCGCACCCGAATCACCGACACGATCCGCATTCTCGGCGACTTGAAGACCCTGGGCCAACCGGGCAAGTCGCGCGCCGAGTACGTTCAGTTCCTCATCAACGACATCTGCACCTACTACGGATACACGCCGTACCTCGCCGAGAAGCTCTTCAACCTGTTCTCGCCGATGGAGGCATTCGCGTTCTTCGAAGCGAACGAGACGGCGCGACCCGTCGTCCTCCGTACCAACACCCTGCGCACGAACCGTCGGTCTCTGGCGCAAGCGCTCATCAACCGCGGTGTGGTGCTCGAGCCGGTCGGAAAGTGGTCCAAGGTCGGTCTGCAGGTGTTCGAATCGGCGGTGCCCCTGGGTGCGACGCCCGAATACCTGGCGGGTCACTACATCCTCCAAGCGGCATCGTCCTTCCTCCCCGTCATGGCCCTCGCCCCTCAGCCCGACGAGCGTGTGCTCGATATGGCCGCCGCCCCCGGTGGTAAGACGACGTATATCTCGGCGCTGATGCGCAACACCGGCTGTGTGATCGCCAACGATGCCAGCAAGCCCCGTGCCAAGGGTCTGATCGGTAACATCCACCGTCTGGGCTGCAAGAACACGATCGTCACGAACCTCGACGCCCGCGAGGGCTTCCCTCATACCATCGGCGGTTTCGACCGGGTGCTCCTGGACGCTCCCTGCACCGGTACCGGTGTCATCGCCAAGGATCCCAGCGTGAAGACCTCCAAGACCGAACGCGACTTCCTCGCCATCCCGCACATGCAGCGCCAACTGCTGCTCGCCGCCATCGACTCGGTCAATCACGCGTCCAAGACGGGCGGCTACGTCGTCTACTCTACGTGCAGTGTCACGGTGGAGGAGAACGAGGCGGTGGTGCAGTACGTGCTCAAGAAGCGCCCCAACGTGAAGCTCGTCGACACCGGCCTCGGTGACTTTGGCAGCCCCGGTTTCACCAAGTACCAGGGCAAGCACTTCGACCAGAAGATGACTCTCACCCGCCGGTACTTCCCGCACCGCGAGAACGTGGACGGTTTCTTCGTCTCGAAGTTCAAGAAGACCGGTCCCAGCCCCACGACCACCGCCCCCGCCGATGGCGCCGCGGCCTCGGCCGACTCCAAGCCCAAGAAGGCCTCCAGTGCCTCCTCTGCCGCTAGCACCGACGACGAGGACGTCATCGACAAGACGCCGATCACGGATGAAGATGGTATGGTTCCGGATTCCGAGGGCGGCGCCTTCGGACCGTTCGAGGACAACGCGGACGACGATAAGGAGCGGATTCTGCGTGCGGAGCGCAACCGCCTCCGTCGCAAGGGCCTCAACCCCAAGGCTGTCCTGAACAAGCCCAAGAAGGCCAAGGACGAGACCAAGCCTGCGGAGACGCCGGCACAGGAAGACAAGAAGGATGCGGCCCCGAAGCAGGCGGAGAAGAAGGCGGACAAGAAGGACGAGAAGAAGGCGGACAAGAAGGAGGACAAGAAGAAGCCCAAGAAGGAGACCAAGAAAGACACCGTCCCCGAACAGGCCGAGAAGAAGATCAAGAAGGACGATAAGAAAGACGCTACTCCCGAGAAGAAGAGCAAAAAGCCCGCCGCCGACGCGTCCAAAGGCAAGAAGGGCAAGAAATAATAACCTCATCGACTGTATAGATGTGTTTTGAGGAGGGCAAAAAGCATCGTGATTATACTCTGGCGGATGGCGCAGTCATGTCTGTTTTCTTTTTTTGTTGGATTATGTAGTAGATATTGTTCGTCACTGAATTCAATAGATACCATTTATTTATTTGTGTCTTTCTATGAGATAGATGGTATGGTTCATGTCCACCCGACATTCCTATGGGGACATATACTGCTAGAGTACGGAGTACTTCAACCCTGCCTACCTATATAACGAGATGGATGGTGTTTGATGTCAAGACCCTACCACTCGCCAATTGGTGTTTTTGTGGTCGAATGATTACGATAAAAGACATGCCAATAGATGGGTAAAGGTCAACACCCTGATGATATTCATTCTGACCTTGCAGAGAAAAACGCCCAGCTTTTCCAGGCCCCCAGCCAAGAAACTGCAAACCGCCCAATTCTCCAGGATTAATCAATAAATACAAAGAAGAAATAAAAGATAAAAATAAAATAAATAAGCCGCAACGTCCCTTGCGAATCTGACGATCCCTCGCTAGGAGCGAATCGAAGAAACCGCCAGCATCATGAACACAAGAAAGACAATCAAACCGAGCACCGCGGGAAAGACACTATCTGCGGAGTGTTGTTCCCAAGGATCATGGTTGGGCGACGCATGGAGATCATTGGAGAAGGTATGATACTGGTGTTGTAGCGCTGGGTTGGGCGCCATGTTGATGGGCTGGGCGGGGTCTGTCGCGACGTCATGGTCTGGGGGGTGTATTTCATGATGGTGATGGTGATGGTGATGGTCATGGTGATGGTGGTCCTGAGTGGGTTAGTCTAAGGCCTAGAGGGCTAAAAATAGAGGGTTACTAGGAAGGAGGAATCCTTGCTAGGAAAGGAAGGGAATGGAATGAAATGAACATACTGGGGGTGGATGGTGGTCTGCCATGGTTAGTAAAGCTACACTCAACCCATCCTACTCACAAGCGAAAGAAGGAAGAAATGATATAGGGTACTAATTCTTCTTGCTGGATTGAAGAAAAGTCCAAGATTGGAAATGAAGCCAAACTCTATCCAACCAGGCACGTGCAGCACGCCTGCATTAAGGCTGACGGATTTCCACAACAACTTCCTCCACTGCTCCGCCACGATACTACCCTATCCTGGTGATCAGCCATGTCATTACCCCAACCAGACCGGAACGTTGATTTGGCTCATGCCAAGCTAATACCTATACGAATAGCTGCTCCTTCTCCATCCAATCATCCAATCACTCGGAAAGTCGCATGGGACGCCTTACAGTCTGCAAAGATGACTTGTCGCAAACCCCCTTTCCAGTCGTGAAGAACCTCTTCTTACCGCCCGTGAATTGGGCTCAGACCGGTTCGGGTGCGATCGACAATGCCCAGGAGCTTTCGACTCAGCCTCGATCAAGGTTTTTCTTCAAAAATAGGAACCAATGGCGGGCGTCGACTGCTCTGTCATGACAAACCTACCGAGCCATCGAGCGTATGGGGTCATCCCCGAGCGTATGCAGAGGTCGGATGCCCCGGAAGATTCGATTCAATCGAGTATGACGCTGCGCTGTGCATCTGCAGAAAAGTCAAGGCTCACATTGGGTTGGTCCTCTAGGTAGAGACTAGAACCGACGCCGAGGGGCCCTCGGCCTCAGCCTCGTTCAGGAATCAAACCCTAGTCAATAATCGCAGCGGCTAGTGGACTTTTGGACAATACGATATGCTTCCTGATGAAGGACTACCGTCGCTCGCGATAGATGTATCTCCTCGAAGAAAGATACATAAGAAGAGCTGGTGCCCTCGTAATTCTTGACCGCATCTAAAACACATCAACCGCATCACAACGGTCTCCCTCTTTCACGATTCATCATTATAAATCCACCATCATGTGGTCTGTGATACCCATCGTATTATTCTCCCTCGTGGCATCCGCCTCCCCGGTGGACCACAGCCTCACCCGACGCGACTTTTGCGACGGAGTCGATGCCATGCCTGTCCTCTACCACGAATACGGCAGCGACAAATGCAAGCCCAAGTACTCGTTGAGCGATGACGGCGTCTGCCGCCACACCTCGTTCGAGGCGAACCGCTGCGCGGCCTTCTGCCAAGTGCGCACCAACTTCTTCTACGGCCAGGAGCAGCCCTTCGTCAACACCTTCTGCCATGGCCCCGAGACCTGCACCATCACGTCAACGCACACCCGCACTGTCGGCTGGTCCCTCAGCATCACCCCACAAATCCAGAACGCGCTGAAAGTGGGCGTCTCCGGCGGCTTTTCGGGGAGCTCGGGGGATGCCGTTGCGCATTCCTACTCGATCAAGCTGGAGAGCGGCCAGTGTGGATATTTTACCTTCGTGCCGGTGGTCAAGAGCGTTTGGTATGTTTCTTCCCCCCTCCACATCTCCTTCATATAAGTTGTCCCTGTGTACATGATAAGCAACTAACTGAATGAATAAAGCGGATCGCTCTCCACCCAGAGCCAACGCGTCATGTTTTCCCCTTGGCCCGTTCATTGGTGCATCAACGATTACAAAACCACCGGCAACGTGTGCGGGGACGAGCTGCGCCTCAACCCGGACGGGAGCGTCGACGGCGAGACCATCTTCGTGCGCACCAATTGCGAGAACCGCATGCCACTCCCCGCCAAGGAACAGGACGCTGTCTACCAGAAGCCGGGCGTGCCCATGGACCGCGGAACGCAGGAGGCCTGGGCCAAGGCGTGGGGCAATGGAGACCTGACGGCCGCAAACGAGGACACAGCGGTGAAATGCGAGACGAGCGACGGGTCCGCAAAGATCGAGGACTGCAGGCACGCGTTCCTCTCGCTGCTGAAGTATCCTGACATGGAGGCTCAAACGGGGAAGAAGGGGAAAAACTTTTGGCTTGGGGTACGTTCTTCCTTTCTTATCACTTTTTTTTTTTTTTTTTTTTTTTTTTTTTTTTTTTTTCATCAACACTTGCTTTTGCACATTGGAAGTCTAACGCTTGCATAGTATGTCCACTCGTGCGCCGTTGCTCTGGAGTACGACTCGGACTGGGACGAGGGTTCCTGTGGCATCACGCGCGGTGATGCCGCCATGGCTGCGTACACCATCTCCGACAAGTGCTCGGATCATGGCAAGGGGCTGGTTGGCGGGAGCCGCAAGTTCGGCAAGGACAAGTGCCAGGCTAAATTGAGAATTGTTCACACGGAGGGGTTACCTCCTAGTCCTTCTTGAAATAGCGGAGGAAAAAGGGGATTGCTGGATAGGGCGAGGCTCGGAGTATGCTTGGTTAGAGTTCAACCTCTCAGATATAATTTACTAGATCTATCTAATTAATAAGAGTAACTGATGGCAGTTACAGATAGCTTAATCATATAACTCAGCAGTTTCAACCATGCAGACATGTACTTGCTCGTTTACTCGCTTCATCGCTTACAGGCCACTTATGGAATAACCAAACTTATCATTCTAGCACCTACTAGTTATCAAGTATCCACCACCACCAACCTACCACACTTCCTAGACGTTATAGTATACTCTACCCAAGGTAATACACTAAGCACCATCACCCCTCTCAGCATCCAACACAAAAATCCCACCCACATCCCCAGCAACAACCTCCTCCTCCACAATCAACACAGTAAAGAACCTCGCCTTCTCGTCCCCCTCGCCCACATTCTCCGACCGCACATGGTGACATCCAGGCCCCTCATACCACGTCTCGCCCACCCGGCTGATAATCGGCTCCTCGTCGTTCATCTGGTTCAGCACCGTCCCGTCCGCCACCACCGCGACCACCGCCGCCCCGCCGTGCGTGTGCGCCGGCGTCGCCGCCTTGCTGTCCATGCTGACCATGCCCACTACGACTGCTTTGCCGGGGATGTTGGGCGGGTGGTAGATGTTGAGGACTTGGAAGGTTTCGCGGGGGCGGCTTGTTTGGTTAGTATTGATGTTGTGGTATAGTATAGGATTTTATAGTATGGGGTGTCGAGGGATAGGAATTGGTAATGACTTACCCCTCTACATGGTAGGATTCGCCGATTTTGATCACTTTGGGAGATGACATTGTGATCTATCTCTTTGTTTTGGTCTTTGTTTTTTTGTGGATATGGATTATATTGATTTCGTCTGTGGACTGTATAGAAATATGATCCAGAGAAACGCCGTATAGATATATGATATATCCATGACGATATAGTCGTACAGTCTAGGCCATCCGGGGCTTCCACGGGGGATGTGAGGAATTCCCTTGATTGGAAGCCTCTTCGTATTTGATTTGCTAAGACTTCGTGGACAAAGAACGAGGGTGAGTATAGACGATAGGAGTACCATGGCTGGTGGTGGTACGGATGACGTGTGTACCGCTCAATCTAGGGGTTCAACTCGATTGACTTCCTACTGCTACATTACTTAGGTATAAACATCTGCAATCCCCACAACCAATTGACAAAACAAACAGTGTCAAAATAAGAAGAGTTAAATCAAGAAAAAAGAAGATGAATAAAATGCGCGCCCTTATCCAACCCACCCCAACCTCCCCCTCCTCCGCCCTAATCCTAACAACAGACAACCCCATCCCCACAGCGGACTCCACCACAATCGAGCACCTCATCCGCGTCCACGCCTGCTCCCCCTGCGCCAACGAACTCAACTGGTCCACCTACGTGGACCTCCCCGCCCTCCGCGCCCTGATTCCTTGCCCCGACGTCGCCGGCACGGTCGTGACCGCGCCGCCAGACTCGCCCTTCCAGCCGGGCGACGCCGTCTACGCCCGCACGAACTACATGCGGCCCGGTAATGCGCGCGACTACACTATTGCCCTGATAAACGAGCTCGCGCGCAAGCCGGCATCCCTGAGCTGGGCGGAGGCCGCCGCCGTGCCGGTGTCGGCGCTGACGGCGTGGCAGATTCTGTTCGTGCAGGCGGGGGTGGTGGTTGAGCTTGAGGCGGGGCTCGAGGCGGCGAGGGCTCAGTGGAGTGGGAAGCGCATGCTGGTGACGGCTGCGGCTGGGGGCGTTGGCTTGTGGGTGGTGCAGCTGGCGCGGCTGCTGGGGGCGGAGGTCATCGGGACGTGTGGGAATGCGCAAAGCGAGGCGCTGGTGCGGGAGATGGGTGCCGAGGTGCTGAACTATCGGACGACGGATTTCCGGCGCTGGGCGGAAGACGATGCGAATAGGGTCGATGTCGTGGTCGATAATGTGGGCGGGTCGGCGCTGCGGGATGCCTGGTGGGCTGTGAGGGACGGGGGCGTCGTGCTCAGTATCGTTCAGCAGCCGGGGCTGGCGCGACCGCAGGAGTGCTTGGTGGAGAATGTGAGGGAGGTGTTCTTTATTATGAACCCTGATGGGGAGCAGCTGCAGCAGATTACGGAGCTGATTGAGGAGGGGAAGTGTCGTCCGAGGGTGGACAGCGTGTGGCCGCTGGAGCATGCCAGGGAGGCGTTTGCCAGACTGGATGGGGGGCATGCCCGGGGAAAGATCGTGTTTGATTTGTCCTTGAATCAGTAAGTATTTGTGAGGGGATATTGCTAGAGTGGCATGTTTATAGTGTCTTGTCGATGGCTTCAATAGTACTCCATGTTTGAGGCCTCAGCCGTGCGGCATTAACAGCTATATGCATTTTCAATTGACGTATCATAGAAGTCGTACGATCTTAGCCACTGCACCAATATATCGATCGGGATTGTGATCGGGTTTGATGTGACCAATATCCTAACATTTGATATTGATACCTGGATGCTAAGTCACTGAGCTATCCTATATGACCCGACCTGCGGGCATGCTCACACTTCCAGACAACTCCTCCGACGAGATTATTTCAATCGGTCCAGAAGCAGGTGTTGAACGTATCCAAACTTTGGGCTCAGACATGGCTGAACGGTATATATGACTGATCAATCAAAATTGGACACCTTGCACAACTGGGTTTTTGGCTGCTCTGCGGAGGATGCCTTTTTTACTTAGGGGTAGAGAAGCGTCGGTCTGACTAGATGACCTCTTCTAGCCGGCACTACTCGAGCCCTCTGTAACATCGAGTCAAGCGATGCTTGCTCCCTCGGCAGCTTAAGGGTGAGCCTTTTCCCTGTTTGAAGCCTTCATCACATCAAGCTTCTTACAAACATCTTGTCGAACGTCATCAGTCTGGCCGTTCAAAGTGATTGTTTGATGGTAAAATGTCTCGCCACATTCACAAGGCCCAGATCTGTGGAATCCTGTGACTTCTTTCCTTATTTCTCGCGCTCCAGATACTGCACGAGTCTTGAATGATGATTGGGGCCATGAATTCATCGTTGGCGTTCTTTGCTGGACTCCGATCGCGCTCAGTGGCGATCACGTGATTACGTGTCTGTATACACACGACGAGACAAATTGAGATCTCGTAACTCAACTCCCACATCACAATTACAGAATCCCTCCCGGAAATCTACCAAATGTGGGCAGGGCATAGAAAAGAGGGGAAAGTATTCATGCGTCACTGGCTTATGGCGATCTTAGTCCTTTTCAATAGACGATCCCCCACCCCTCCGAGCATACATGTCCGGCTCACACGAGATAAGTCACGGCGGTTCCTGCCGCTGTCAGTGGAGGGAGAGTCACACTTGCGATAACCATGATAGATACACCGTTAGCAAGAAGTCAAGGTAAGGAAGGCAAACTCAATAGCTCATAGATGCGGTTGGTTGATCTGAGACTCGACGTCGATCGTCTCCGCATTGGCAGGATCCCCGCAATACCTTCCCCGCCCGATGGTCTGTTCGCCTTCGCCTTGCAGGTCTCAACGCTTGGCTCCAACCAAGTTACATCCAATTCAGCGAAAACACTGAAACGCCGAACCACGGCAGGTCCCCTCAGGATTCCCTAGCGGGGAGCGGCCGAGGTCTTCTGTGGTCATTTACATGTGGCTGCAGGCGCGGGATCCTTAAGTAAATATAGAGATGGAGCCGGTAACAACCTTACGATAATTCTGTCAGAACGAAGCTTCGACTGCTGGAAGACATCACATTGCCAACTTCCGCAAAATTCCACGGCAACATGACCGTCGTGCCGGACACCTTCAGTGGCTACGTGCACAATCTCACTCCCGCTCAGGAGGCTAAGTTGCGCGATTTGTGGGTCTTCTTCTTCACATCCGCCGCATCGATCCTCACCAGCGTGTACGACGTCAAGCTACCGGAAGGCCCGCCCAGCAAGCTCTTTGAAGTACTCGACAAGATCACGGAGCCGACAGTTGAAGCGGTCATTTCTGCGCTCAAGGACGCCGAGACCAATGAGCACACAGATGCCTCGGCGACGGACAGGATAGAAGGCTCTGGCGGTGACGGCGACAATGTGGAAAAGAAAGACAGCGGGATCGGGGGAGAACACAGAGAACAAGAAACGCTCGATAAGGTCGAATCCCTGATCAATAAAGATGAGGCCAAGAAGACACTGCGCACGGAGATGACCACGAAAAAGATCACTCCGGAGCATTTCTCCGCATTGTTTGCCCAGTTGCGCCAGATGGGTATGCAAGAATCGGAGATCAAGACCATGGAAAAAGTGGTGGCGAGGATGACGCCCGAGGAGATGTGCTTCGCAGTCATCAAGATGGTCAAGCAAGAGCATCCAGACAGCCTACTGCTGCGGTTCCTACGTGCACGCAAATGGGACGTACGCAAGGCCTTCACCATGGCGGTTTCGGCAATTCTATGGCGGAAGGAGATGGAGGTCGACGATGATATCATGCCCAAGGGGGAGCTGCACGCACTGCAGAAATCGCGCGATCAGAAACTCTCGGCAGCGGAGAGGAAGGAGGGCGCGGATTTCTTGGAGCAGCTGCGTACGGGGAAGAGCTTTCTGCATGGCGTTGATCGCCAGGGACGGCCGGTGATCTATGTCAGAGTCAAGATCCACAAACCCGGAGCGCAGAGCCAGGAGACGCTGGAGCGATATATAGTTCATGTCATTGAGTCGACGAGGATGGTTATTGCACCTCCCGTCGAATCTGGAGTGCGTGTTTTCTCTCTTGAAAGAGGAGAGAATTACAGGCTAACGTTCGGTTCCTTAGACTATTGTCTTCGACATGTCTGGTTTCTCTCTGTCGAACATGGTATGTTTTACGACTCCGCCATAAAATCATGCAGTCGACATTAACGGAACAGGAATACCAACCGGTAAAATTCATCCTCAAGTGCTTTGAAGCAAATTACCCCGAGTCTCTGGGAGTGTTGCTAATCCACAACGCCCCATGGATTTTCTCCGGTAAATCCTGACTCGTATTCCCCCCACAATTAACCCTCACTAATTAAAAAATGAAATAGGGGTCTGGAGGCTCATCCACGGGTGGATGGACCCCGTCGTCGCCTCCAAAGTCCACTTCACTCGGTCGATCGAAGACATCAACCGATTCGTGCCACGCGAACAGGTTCCTCGCGAGCTTGCTGGTGACGAAGACTGGGAGTACAAGTACAAGGAGCCTGACGACGACGAGAACGCGATCATGCAGGACACGGAAACACGCGACAGTCTCATGTTTGAGCGCCTGATGAGCGGCATTCACATGTTTGCGGCCACAGCCGCGTGGATCTCCGCCACGACCTTCGCGGGCGGGAAGAGAAACCAAGCGACGGTGGAAGCGGTCAAAATGCGTCGGGATACAACCATCCAGAAATTCCGGGAGAATTACTGGCGGTTGGATCCGTATGTACGGGCTCGCGCGCTGATTGATCGGGCTGGGATGTTAAATCCCGGTGGGGCGGTTGCCATGGGTCTTGAAGGTAAAGGGGGTTAGTTGGGTTTTCTTTTTTTACTTCTTCTTCTTCCTCTTCTTCTTCCTTTTGTGTAGTTTTGTGCAAATTGTTGGGGTATAATGCCTGTCTGACTCCGTCTGGTATGGTACTCGCAGGATTCTAGGCGTGCATCCTTCGAGTAGCTTAATTCTTTTCCTTGCACTTAAGTGAGCCTGATTTCCAGCTTTTCCCAGGATGGCAGGAGCAATTCCGACGGTGTGAATAAGAGCAGTAATGATCATCGGCAGCAGATGAGCCTCTTCGCTGGGCTCCACTAGGCTACTAATCCATCCGACACAGGAGATAGACCGAGACACGGGACCCAGGCCTACATCTCCTCGGGGGTTCCGAATCAACCGCTGCTAGCAATCAAGCGTCTATAGTCATTTCCCATCCGGCGATCTCGGTGGATTGCAACCTGGCCAAGCTGCGATTCAAGGTATCCCCGGACGGACCAATGTTGGCATCGCATCGGAAGCCTCCCGAGAGACCCAGTTCCTAACTTCCTAGGACGTAAACTGAAGGAGCGCCTGGTCGGCAGGAATCAGCTCCTTGACTAGTGTCGATTACCGAGGACAAATTGATCACCGCCTGTGCATATATCGACAGAAGTAGGCTGGCGGCCTGAGCCTGGAAGCCCGGAAATCGACTATCCACGACGTACTATTTATATGGCTTCAATCTATGCCCAAATAAGTAGGGCCATAACAAATCAAGGCTCGCGTGCGAAAGGCTCTATTTAGCGGCGACCTCCACAGTGATACTGCCAATAACTCACCGAGAACGACTAAAATCAATCGGGGACCCCTGGGATGTGGATCTTCTTTTCGAACCGTCACTCACTAAGCGTGGATCCACGGTGGATCTGCTCCCACGTCCAGAAAATCAAGATCCCAGGATCCGTCGTGCAAAATAGGATTCGTCCCGCCACACCACATTAGCTGACCGTTGAGATAATATAGGTGAGACATTGGGGGGGCAACTTTGGAAGAACTCTATTTCAACAACTTGTTCGAACACGTATGGAAGCAGCCCTATTGTCGATATCAGCTTGACAGGACTCGGGACAGCTTACGCAGCGACCACAAAAGATGATATTGGGACCTGAACGTGCCTGGAAATTTTTTCTCGGATACAAGATGAAAGACCCACGCTGCCAGGCTTTGTAGAGCCAATTGCACAGCTGGTGATGGAGCTCTGAACGTGAAAGGCCCTTTTGGAAAATTGGCCCAGTGGCAACTTGACTTTTTTTCCCCCCTGACTAGGGGATCTGGCCTGCCGGCTATGCGTCTCCGTGATGGTAGCTGCGAAGAGATGAAACAGTGGATATCTGACTACCACTTCGGGGCGGATGGAAGCCGAAGACGCATTGGTAGTATTGGTCCAGCAAGGTCAGACCTGGCGAATTATTGTCCGCTGTTCGAACCCTAGGTGGCGATCTCTCTTTCGAACCACCTTTTCACCGAGGTTTATTTGACATCTTGAATTTCGATATTATTCTTGTGCTGCTCCGGTGGACCGGGGTACAGAGGAATTAAAAAAAGAAAATTCAATTGGTATCCGCTCTTCACCACCCCCCCTTCCCACCATCGATTCCACCCCCTGGTGCCTGCACTACACAGCTTCCAGCTCCCCCATATTTGGAGGACTGGCCCGGATTTCTCGGAATCAGATTGTCTCAGACTGATGATTGCATTCCGCTTCCGCTCTTTCTTTCCGTCAGAGGCATCATCAATCCGGCCATGATTCTGCGACGTATATTGATGCTGGCCCTTCTTGGGCTGGTGGCGTTCGTTGCGGCTGCGGAGCAGCTTCCCCAGTGTGCGGTACGTTCCTGAGTTCATCTATATTAATATCTGGTGTCTCACCTCTGACAGTCGTAGGCTACCTGTCAGAAAGACACTCTCGCGGACAACACGACGTCATGCAGCACGAAGGACCTGCAGTGTCTGTGTGACGATAAGAAATTCCAAGATGCTGTGACAGTTTGTGTCACGGCGAGCTGTTCAGGGCGAGAGGCACTGAGTAGGTTCTTACTTCTCTGTCTATATGCGTGCATGAGTACTGATTCAGACAGCGGCGAAGCACGTCAGTTCTCAACAATGCGGCGTCCCGCCGCACAAGGGCCACCCTGAGGTCGAAGGCGCGACGCTGGTCCCGTTGATCCTGGCCGGGATTCTGTTCGTGGTCCGTATGGCGGCCAAGATCATGGGACTGGGTGGTGGCTGGGGACCCGACGACTATACGATTATCGTCGCTGAGGTGGGTAGTTGTTTGCATCTGATGGAGTGCTCTTCTGACGTGAACAGGTTTTGGGGATTGCCATCTTTGCGCTGAACGTGGCCAGTAAGTTCACTTTATTTAAATATACACTCTGGATAGAGATTAACCCTCCCAGTGATCCACTATGGATTCGGTCAAAACATGTGGGACATCACTCCGATGGATAACATCACCGTCGTGTACAAGGTGCGTCCGGACAGCCCACCCACACGCTACAACACGCCACTAACAGCCGCAGCTCTTCTACGCCTTCGTGATCATCTACAAAGCGCAAATCTCCCTCGCCAAAATTTCCGTGTGTCTCTTCCTTCTGCGCATTTTCCAGTCGACCGCCTTCCGCTGGACCACCTACATCATCATCGGATTGAACGCCGCCATCGCCGCAACCTGGATGTTGACAGACTCGCTGCGATGCATACCCGTGCATCTGTCGTGGACGGCCTGGACGGGTGAGGAAACGGGCCAGTGTATCGACTTCATGACGGTGACGTTCGTCAACGCGTTCGTCAACATCGCGGTCGACACGGCCATGGTGCTGATGCCCGTGTACGAGATTTCAAAGCTGAATCTGTCCGCGCGGAAGAAGGCGGGCGTGAGTGTGATGTTCGCGATGGGTCTAGTGTATGTCCTCTCTTCCTTTCTTTTCCTTGCATATTACTAACGGCAGGACAGATTGACCGTCGTCGCCATCCTCCGAGTAATCGTGTTCTGGTTCAACCGCTGGGGAAGCAACCCACTCGGTAAGCCCTCTCCATCCGAAATGTATTCAAAACGACACGACACTAACAAAGGATACAGTGGAACTCCAACCCATCGTGCACTGGTCCGTGATCGAAGTCCAAATCGCCGTCCTATGCGCCTGTCTACCAACGACGCGTGCCATGGTCGTGCATCTCTTCCCCTGCCTGGTAAACGGCTCGGGAGCCAACTCGACACAGCAGCCGACGGCGCCGTCGAAGATGTTCGGCGCCAGTCGCCAGCCGGGCAACATCTCCATGACGGTATCGTACTCGGTGGACTACAACAACAAGCCGCACCAGTCGGACCAGAATAGTTTTGTGCGACTGGTGGAGATGGATCCTATCCGTGATGATTCCTACCCGTGATGAATGAGCTTTATGTTCGGGTTGGATATAGGCGTTGGTAGCTGGTTATTATAGCACGCTGGCTACATGTATTATAGCTTAATCGGTAGATATGGATGGGGATGGAGTTTGAAAATGAATATCAAATTAAATAAATAAGGATAAAATATAGATATTCGTCAGTATGAGAAGAATGACTAAGAACTGCCTCTGTGGGTCGTGGATCCACCATGATTTGCGCGGATTTGAGCATATACTACGGAGTATACGGTCATTGTTCTCTATTTGCTTGTCTTCTCTTGGATACTTATTTTACTCTCTTCTCTCCTCTTACTCTACTCTTACTAGAACTCTAACCCTAAATCTCTCTAACTTTAACTCTATTATCATCTACTTATATCACCTCCCTGATATATCCCATCCTAACCGCACATACATCGCCCACCACTGTCTCTATTACTACATCCTCCATATTCTTCTACTCTGTACAAAGAGAACAATAAATCTCAATAATAAATCAAAATGTGCGGCCCTCCCCGCCCCAGCAGCGGCAATCGCATCGCCATCATGCACAGCACCAACAACAAAAAGACCAGCCAATACGCCATCTGCTTCCACGACCGGACGGCGACAGACGCAGGCACGCGCGCCTTTGTTCGCTTCAGCGACGCAGGCCAGTGTCAGCGGCTGCGTGGGAGGGGTGTTAACTTGCGGATTGAGTATGTTCTTTCTTTCTTGGTTGATCTTCCCACGTGTGGGTACACATGTATAGATAGGATGAAGCTAATAAGCTATAGAAAACACGGCGACTTGACAACCTCCGCTCAGCACCACCCTCTACATGCGTTTCAGCTACCACACGGATGGGACGAGCGCGAGTTCGAGCTGCCGGAGCGGTTGGATCTGGGGGTGTCGGAGAGGGGCATTGTTGGGCGCAGGGTGACTGTTACTGTGGATGGGGTGGATGGGTGGGTGGATATGGGGGTTGTGGGGTATGATTGATCTTTCTTCTTTTTTTCAAGGTTTATTTTTGTGCTTGGTGTTGGTTGTGTTTCTGTGCTATTGGGTAGGGTAGTTTGGTTAGGCCGCTGGTTCGGTCTTCAAGTTTATATAGATGTATATTAAGTATGAGTTGTATTTATTCTTTCTGTGAGGGACAGCATAACAAACCTAATAGGTATACAGACATGTATATAGTATAGTATTTCCAATTCAACCCAAAAGAATAGAGTCAAATCTAAACCTTCGGAGCGTCCTTCTTCCCACCCGCATACCGCGCCTCAGCCTCCTTCCAGTTAATCACCTTCCAGATAGCCTTCGCATAAGCCTTCTTATCATTCTTATACTGAAGATAATAAGCATGCTCCCACATATCCACCCCCACAAGCGGCACCGCATCAGTGATAGGATCCTGATCCTTGGCACTAACAATGCTCAGCTTCCCGCTGGGCGCATCACTAACAAGCCACCCCCACCCGCTGCCCTGCACAGCGAGAAGATTCTCCTCAAAGGCTTCAGTGAAGGCCTTGATGCTTCCCCACTGCTCCTTGATAGCGGGGGCCAGGGTGGGCGCGGCCTTGTGGATGTGTGTCTCGGGGCTGTCGAAGGGGGCCAGGTTCTTCCAGAACAGCGAGTGGTTGATGTGGCCGCCGGCGTTGAACTGGACTAGCTTTTGCTGCTTGATGAGCTCGGGGAAGTCGGGCTTGGGCTTTTCGAAGGCCTTCGCTTGCGCGGTGAGCGCCGCGTTGAGCTTGTCGACGTAGGTCTTGTGGTGCTTGTTGTAGTGGATGTCCATGATCTCTTTGGAGATGGCGGGTTCGAGGGCCTGTTTGGTTAGTTTTTTGTGTACTTTGCTTGTATGAAAGGAGGGGTAGAGACGTACATCCAGCTTGAAGGGTAGCTCGGGGAGGGTGAATTTGCCGGCCATGGCGCTCTGCTTCTTGCTCAGGGCGAGGAGGTCTGCGTCTGACGGTGGCGTCGGTGCTGCAAGAGCGGCAGGGAGGAGGGAGAAGAGGACGAGGGAAGGGAACTTCATGGTTGCGGTTTATGATATGATATCACGTCACTGGGCCAGTTGATCGTCGAACGTGTGGACCGTGGAGAGGACCGTGAGAACTGGGGTGAGGGAAATTGAGCGCTTTTATAGACGATCAGAATGACGCCAAGCATGCTGGTTTACCCGGTCAGCTCCCGGAGGAGCAGAAACGAGATGAAGGACAGCAAGGCTCGGTGCCCGAGGTGCAGGCGTTGTCTGGGATAGGGCTAGTTTGGGGGCGTGATTGGAAGGATTGGGCGCTGATTGATAGAAATGCCAGCAGGATGCCAGGATGCCAGGATCACGTTGAGCCGGGAGGGGAAATGATCATCTGTCGTCAGCATATTTGATGTGCTTTAGTCTCTTAGCTCTTAATTATACCTTGCTTTCGCTCTCCTATCCTATAATTCCTGTGGTTGACTTCTTATCCTATCCTATTTTTATGACCGGTACCTGTGGCAGTGCACGAACTAGACCGTTTCTCCCCCAGCATTCTGCAAATGATTATAGCCTCGTTTCATCTAACCATGCTTTTGTGTAGACAATCTACTTCATCTTCTAGTCAGATATAAATCGGCTTAATACTGTATCTTGTCGCGATCTTCGTACATCAGGAACAAGGTTATGAACAGATGGATGATGTGAATAAGATCGATGAATAATTATCCCGATCCATTGATGAATTATGTACATGACTAATCCATGCGGGGCCGAACCTCGGCATCTCCGTCGGTTACGTTAGCCTTCTTCTACGTCTACTTCTACATAAACTCGTCAACAAACAATACTTCATACTTCATACTTTCAACAATTATAAATCATAAAGAAAAGAAAACAAAATGTCCGTCCAAGACCAAGTCTCCCTCGACAACTTCAGCAACATCTTCTCCCTCGATGGCAAAGTCGCCGTCGTAACGGGCGGATCCCGCGGTCTGGGCTTGCACGCTGCGAGTGGGTGTGTCTCCTCCTCATTCCCAATTCTCAAATAGTATAATATATACACGTATATACGGAGAACTAATAATCTATATAAAGTCTCCTCCAAGCAGGCTGCTCCAAAGTCTACATCACCAGCCGCAAAGCCTCCGCCTGCAACGAAGCCGTCGCCGCCCTGAACGCCCTCCCGGGTAAACGACCCGGCGCACAAGCCATCGCCGTCCCGGCCGACAACTCGCGCATCGACGAGCTCGAGCGGCTCGTCGCTGAGGTCCGCAAGACCACCGACCGCGTCGATATCCTCTTCGCCAATGCCGGCGCTACCTGGGGCGAGAAGTTCGATTCGCATCCCCCGGAGGCGTTTAGCAAGGTTATGGATTTGAATGTGAAGAGTGTTTATTATTTGATTCAGAAGTGGGCCCCCCTTTCCTCCTTATATACATATATATGTTTTATGTATAAGGTATATGTATGCTAATACGGTATAGGTTCACCCCCCTCCTCGAACCCCACGCGACAGTCGCCGAACCCTCCCGCGTAATCGTCACCGGCTCCGTAGCCGGCATCGCGCTAGGCAGTCTCGGCCCCAACGCCGCCTTCGGATACAGCGCCTCCAAAGCAGCCGTCATGCACCTGACCCGCAATCTGGCCGTTGAGCTGGGCCCCCGCGGCATCCTCTGCAACGCCATCGCGCCGGGGTTCTTCCCCTCCAAGATGGCCAGCGGGCTGATTGAGAAGGCCGGCGGCGTCAAGACTATGGAGGATCATAGCCCTAACCGTCGGCTGGGCAAGCCGGAGGATATTGCGGGCCTGGTGGTGTTTTTGGCGAGTCGGGCCGCGAGTCATTTGAATGGGGCGGTTGTTACTACTGATGGGGGGAGTCATTTGAAGGGGAAGCTCTAGTCTTTTTCTTCTTTCGTGATATTTGTTTCTTCGTTTGTTTCTGAAGTTCGTTAAGTCTATCTTTGTATATAGTTATAGAACTACAGCTTCGTCTCCCGTCCCTCGACATGGACCGCCTGGTCCACAATCTCCATCGCCCGCATCAGCTCGTGGTCATGCTGTCTGGGCGTGATAACCTGCACGCTCAGCGGACTGTCCAGGTAGACGCGGCGATCGACCGTTTTCTCGTTCCCTACATCAGCATCATCCATTAGCAACCATCAATCAAAAAGGGGCAAAAGAACCAAGGAAAAAAGAAGGGAACATACACAACCCCCGATTCGCCTTATCCCAACTCCCCCCAACAGGCCCCTCCACCTCACCTTCCAAATCCGCCTCCCCAAACCGCCGAACCGGCACACTCCCCGCCGGATAATCAAGCAGCACCCAGCTACTCGTATACCCCACAGCATTATAGCGATCCAGCTGCGGCACCGGATGCGGCGCCACCGGATGGATCAGCGCATCGATGCGCCCTTCTCCCGCCTGGCCCACCTCCCACAAACTCCGGTGCAAGTCCCGCTCAAGCACCCCCCGCTGCGCCTGCAGCTCCGCCAACTGCGCCACCGTCAGCGGCTTCCCGCGCTTCATGCGCTTCTGCAGCCACGGGATGAGCGGCTCGCCTGTGCGCTCGAGTATATCCATCATCGTGTTGCCGCCGTCGATGCCCATCAGCCGGCCTGCGACTGTCTGGCAGCGGGTGAGTGCCTTCGGCACGGGTACCTCGACGACTTCCACGCCGGGTGTGCGGCGGAGTGCAGTGGCGACTTCGTCGACGACGCGTGCGATGGGCGGGAGGGGCGCGACGATCCCGTCGCCGCGGAGGATGCCGATCTTGAATTTCTTGCCTGAGGGCTGTGGGGAGGGTGAGGGTGAGGGCCACACGCCCGGGATGCAGTCTTCGGCGAAGAGTTCCGCGCGGGGCACAATCTCGCGCATCAGGGCGTCGAGGTCGGCGACGGAGCGGGCGAGCGGGCCGGCGACGGTCTGCAGCGAGATGCGGTCCTTCCCGGCTGGCTGGCCCATCTGTTGGCCGGCGAAGGGGACGCGGCCGACGCTGGGCTTGAAGCCGTAGATGCCGGCGCACATGGCTGGGATGCGGATGGAGCCGCCGATGTCGGAGCCGAAGCCGGCCATGGAGCCGCGGAGGGCGAGGAGGGCGGCTTCGCCGCCTGTGCTGCCGCCGACTGTGAGCTGGCGGTTGAGGGGGTTGAGGGTGCGGCCGAAGAGGTGGTTGGCTGTGTCGAGGGCGCCCATTGTTTGGGGCACGTTGGTCTTGGCGATTATGATTGCGCCGAGGGATTCAAGGAGGGTCACGAGGGGGGCGTCTGCGGAGGCGGGTTGGAAGGCCAGGGCGGCGAGGCCGAGGCTGGAGTCGACGCCGGTGATGTTGAAGGTGTCTTTTAGGGTGATGGGGAGGCCGTGCAGGGGGCCGATGGGCGTGCTGGTGCGGCGGAGGTGCGCGTCGAGGTGTTGCGCGCGGGTAAGCGCCCGGTCGAAGAGTGGTTCGGTGAGGCAGCGGGTGAGCTGGTGGGCGATGGATGCTCTCTGATTAATGTTTAGCTGGATGTTTAGATGTTGTAGGGCCGAGAAGCAAGTACCTTACAGAATGCACCCACGACCTCCTCACAGGTGAGTTTCCCCCCAGCTATCTCTCCCATCAAACCCCGGATATCGTACTTCTCCGTGATGTCCAGCTCGTGCGAGGAGAGAAGTCCACACGTTCGCGGAACGTCCATGACGTTGACGCGTCCATAAGACTGGACGTCGGTGACGGACTCGGCGGGGGAGAGCATCCCCGCGGGGATGTGAGCGGGGGAGAGTCGCCATTCGGGGGGGATCTGGGCGGCGAGGTGCGCCTGTTTGCGCTGGGCGATTTGCTGGTAGGAGTCCATTGTATAATATACAACATACAATTATAACTATAACTGTATATCATGTATGATTGTCGTTGTACAATAGAAGTTGTAGAATACTCCGCAAAAGAGGAGATGGATAGCCGAGATTATGTAAGAACCGAGGTTAATATCAACAGTATCTCGATATTTTGAATACCTTCATGAAATATGTATAGAGAAAGGTAGATTAAAACCGCGACACATCCTTCCCAAACAATCTATTCAACAGCCACCGGAACCCCACCCGCAACTTATTCCGCCAACTAATACTCATCGTCAAGTACGCCGAATTCCACACCAGCGACGCCATCCGCCCCGTCAGCTGGCCAGGGAGGTACTTGCCCACCTGCTCGGGCAGCTGCATCAGCGCGCGCGCGTCGCCGATGTACGCCAGCGTGCCCATGTTCTGGAAGGAAAAGGGCGACGCCTGCGCCAGGTCGCCCGCGTTGAGCCGCGCCGCCAGCCACTTGGCTTCTTGGAAGGTAGCTTGCGCTGTTGCGGGCGGTGCGCCTGTCTCGGGCATGGCGTTGTCGCCTAGGGCGTAGACGTCTTGAAGCACGGCAGTTGTGCCGTCCGGTCGCTCTAGCTGTACCCGCAGCTGGCCGTCGACGAGGAGGGCGCCGACCTTGGGGGCTTTCTTGACGCGCCAGCCGGAGTTGTGCTCTACGGAAGATTCCGCGGGGGACGCCGCGGGGAGGGCCTTCCCGTCTTTCAGTTGCGCGGACCGGGCGGGAAAGGTAGGAACCTCGTCAAGGCCCGTCCGGATCAACTTGTTCATCGTGTTGCCCGTCACCCACACGCACATACCCACGCCGACCTCGCCCTCTTCCTCCGTGCTCAGCGTCAGACACTTCTTAGGGTCCATGTAGTGCGGGGGCTGCTGGCCCGGTTCTCCCCAGCGGAGGCTCTTAACATGGTGAGAGGTCTTAATCTCAATACCCTCCTTGCGCATAGTGTTCATCGCGTATCGCGACAGCGACTCGTCGAACATGGACAGCACGGTCGGCGCGACGTCGTACAGCGTAATGCGCGGAATGCCCTTTAGCGTCGGGTACAGCTGGATGAGGTCGGAGTAGATGAAGTCGCGGAGGTGGGCAGCCAGCTCAGTGCCCGTGG